CTTAATTTGCAATTCTATTACTCGTTTATATGTGTGCAGTTACCTTGAAGTTATCAAGGTAACTGCTTGGAGTTGGATTTGTGCTTGGAGTTGGATTTGTGTGTAGTAACTGTTGTAACAGTTACCATCTTTTATTTAGATATAAACTACAGGTGGGTTCCATCATGGTTGACCCACCCATGTCCAATATCTCTCCTCACACATGATGAGACTATCTTTTATTGTGCTTTTACAAGGTTCATACTTTAGTAAATATGTCGTGTGACCATATATACATTGAGAGCATATTAGTTATGTATCTGTTAGGAATATATTATTGCTCGAATAATGAAACTTGGATTATATGACGTATGCAATACCCTAGATTATTTATCACATCTTTCTCTAACAATCTCATTTATAATAAATATATGTTGTATTCATAATTATGTTTTGTCTTTACATAAAAGCAAAACATAATTGGTCAACCAATTAATACACAAGATTATAGTGTGATAACCCAAAAATGTAATCTTCCTCTTTTTTCGATTCTTGCAACTTTTATTTAATTTGTTTTTCCAGAAATGTCCCAACAGATTGAATTTTTCTCAATATTTTGGCAACACTCTAAGATACCAATCATTAAATAAAGTTTTCAATAGACAGAATAGAGTAATAAGGGTACTCTATGAGATTTTATTCTTATATAGGGTTTCTACAATGTTAAAGTTGAGATTTTGACTTTCATTACCCTCTTGGTCAATATTTTTGCACATGTGGTATGAATCACATACTACAACATTTTCTCATTTCCCATGGAGTGCATGTCTCTTTTTTCTTGTAAATGTCGTACAGATTTTAGTTCAGACATACCTAACGTCTAACTTGAGTTCACTCTACATATTTTTAATTCATCAGAACTCTAACATGACAATTAGACAGATAAAGTAATAACTTTGGATAATTTATCACTTACGGTCATACTTCATTATGACATTATTTTGTTTTTGTTTTAAGCAACGTTAAATATTTTAAGTTTGGCTCTCTATTATAACCTAGATAATAAGCTTAAAACAAAATAATGGAGACGATTGTCTGCATAAGAAGGCCAATCTAGTATATTCATTCGTTGTTGGCCAATATGGTCAAGTCTTGCATGGCATACATTCACATCATCATTATTAGAAGATATAATAAAAGAAAAACAAGCATAAGTATAATTATAACCAATATCTAGAACAATAAAATCATTAGAAATATAACCACAACCATAATAATTTGTGTCCAAAAATAAATTGACACCAGTACTTGAAAAGTACTAAATTTCAGGTCGGGTTGACCCATTTGTGCTTTGACTTTGTCAACTTGACTCCGTTGAGCGTTGACTGGGTTTGACTAACCCATTGACCACCCGGGTTGAATATCCGGGTCAACTTGACCCATTCGACTCTATTATGGTATCAGTATCAAAGCTTGGTTCTTGTTTTTTGTTTAGTGTTAAGATATGATATGATGAAATATACTTGATTATATATATGCTTATTATTTAATTTTGATTATTTCGTACTTATGTTTTAAGAATTGTTTTCTGGTAAAACTAATTAGAAAATTAAATTTCTTGTGAAATTATGGAGAGAAAGGTTTTTTAATCGAAAAAAATGGAGTTAAAATGGTTGAGATATGTTTAGCTCTTATACTTGGCCCCTGAACCATATGGACCGATTGATTTGTTTGTCATTTGATTGATTATAGATTTTCTAATTTAAGTCTGGACTGAATTTTTTTTATACCATATTTAAAAGTTAAAATTTCATTACTAAGAATTCAACCTCTCTCTCCTACGTGAAAGCCAAACCTACTGACCATAGAGCTAAATTTTTTTGTTAATCAATCTTGAATAGTTTAAGATATATTAGCTTAAGCCCAATCCATAACAAAGTCAAACGGGTCAAGTTGACCCGAATATTTGACTCGAACGATTGATGGGTTAGTCAAACCCGACCAACAGAGTCAAATCGAGTCAAGTTAACCCAGTAAAAGGGCAAATGGGTCAACCCGACCCAAAATTTAGGGTGCGGTGAGGGTCCCACGCATGCCGCGTTGATACCAACGCGAGAAGGCGCCTGGCGACGCATGTATAGGTTCTAACAATATGATTTTCCTTTTTTAAAAGAATAGAGTGTATACTTGGTATGAAATTGCGAGTATATTTTTTGTTTTTAAGCCATAAATACTTGTAAATAAATTTATTTGTCAAATATAATTAACCTTGATTTGATAAATGAATAAAAACTTTTTTGTATTTGTTACGAAAAAAAAATGTTATTTATAAACATGTTAAGGTTGCTAAAACACCCGCTCAGAAAGAAAGGATAATGAACATGATTAGAACTCTATAAACTCATATCTTAATATTAAAAAACACATAGGATGAGTTGGCATAAATAGTGAATCATTCCCTTATGTGAATAAAATAATGCAGGATATTGTCTGGCGACGAGGATTAAATACAATCTCCTTAGGGAGCGTTTGGTTGAGGGTTATGTAGGATTACTGGGGTAATGTCAATCTTATATTACTTGATTACCATATTTGGTTGTCAATTAATATAAGATACCGGTAATCTTCAAATACCAATAGTGGTTACTATTGGTAATATGGGAGGTAATCTGATTACCTCCATTTTCTTAGGTATTCTGAGATTACCCAGGTTATTATTTTTTGTTACAATTTTATCCCTTATTAATAAAATTTTTAGACAATAATACCCTTACTTTAAAACAAATTTACATTACTATCCTATTTCAATTTTACCCTTGTTTAATTAAAATTTTGGACAATAATGCCTTTATATTTAAAATAATTTACAGACCACCACTGCCACCCAGCCATCACCACCACTGCCACCCAGCCACCACCGCCGACAGCGAGCCAACCACCATGGGCCGCCGCCGGAAAATCACCGGAGTCCCCAAAAAAGAACGAGATTCGGTGGGAGACTCTTGGAGGCTTTAATATGGCCGTTTTCGGCCAAATTGATGGCCGAAAACGGCCATATCGAGCCAGATCTGGTCGGAAATGGCCAAAACTATTCTAGCCATTTCCGACCAGATGGATGGAACTGGCCATTAACTGCCAGATCTTGCCTAGACCTGGCCGCTAATGGCCAGGGATCTGGCCGTTAACGGCCAGATCTGGCCTGATATGGCCGTTTTCGGCCATCAATATGGCCAGAAACGGCCATATCGGAGCCTCTTCGTCACGGTGAGGTACTCACGGGTACTTTCAGAGATTTTCGACGGTGGTTTGCAATGGCGGCAAGCGGCGGCAGGAGGTGGGGGTGATTTTGTCATAAATTAAAGTTTTATATAAGCAGAGGTGTTTTAACTAAATCTGAAATATTGGGGGTTAAAAGAAATTATTCAAAAATTAATAATAAAAATAATCTTATATTAATATTTAAAAGGGGGACAATTTAATAATTTAAATAACACACCCACAATTTATTCCCCATGACCAAACATATTGATATTACATACCCACCAACTAACCAAACACATTTTTTTAAAGATTCCTAGTAATCTTCCAAGGTAATCTATCTTTCTAGTAATCCAACATTTCTAATAATCTAATATTCCTGAACCAAACGCCCCTTGAAGAAATTTTTAATTACCCTAGTCTCTTTGGTCTCAAATAAACAACACAAACACACTACATTAAGCAACAAAAATGATCATCAACTAATGCTACACTTACACAGTCAAGATCGCTACTTTGAATCCAGCAGACTAATGAAGTGACAACGCCACAATGAGTTAGGAGCCAAAGTTGTGATCTGAATTTGTATACATTTTGTAAAATGCCAAAAAAACAAACATCTGATCCGCACACAACATTTACTCACAAACTACTGAACCCAATAACGAAAACTCACATGCAATCTACTAAAAACCAAAAAGAAATGCAAAAGAAAAGAACCTGCCAATCCAGAAGGAAAGAGAAGCTCCAAGAAGTTTAGCTGAGAAGACGCATAGCACAGCAGGGAAGAACAAGAAAAGCGGCGGCCTCAAAGAAGACGGCATAAGGCAAACAAAGGGCCATGGTGAGAGTGAGAAGTCCAACAAAATCCGGCATCACCCAAACGCCGACTTGATCAGACCACTGGCCCAAAAATTTGATGGTGTATTTTCCACCATTTCGCCATACTTGTTCTTCTTGTTTTTGGCTTTTGTAAGACTCTGGGAAGCTCGGCATCTAGATTAAGACAACGTGAATATTGGCTTTGTTATTTTCTCAAACATATGGGCTCAAGGCCCATTTCTCAAAAAGCCCATTAGTGTAATTCACTCACATAATTTTTTATTTAGAGTATTTTCATTAAAAAAAAAAAAAAAAGCAAGACAAAACAAATATACTGTGTTACCGCAGAAAGCTCAAGCTCTACTCAGGCACCGTCTGTTTGGTTACAAAGAAAATGTAGGAAAATAACTAGGTGGATAAACTAACGTCTTTAGATGATAATAATTGGGTTTTGGTTTTTGAGAATTTAGAATATTTATTGTAATGTTTTAGTGTTAGGCTTAACCATAAACTTTCTTAATGTTTTAGTGTTAGGCTTAACCATAAACTTTCTTACACTTTTGTTTTGCACACTTGCTGTTTGCTGAAATGCTTGAGTTAGGATTCTATTTAAGTTAATTATTGTTATTGATAGTTAGATAAACTTGGAGAATTCAATGTCCTTCGACGATGGCTGTTTGTAGTTAGAAAGTTTAGGGATGATGATTATTCTTTTATTTTCCAGGTGCAGGTTTGCGAGTTAAGATTGTTTTTGTGTTGCATGAGAAGAATTGTTGGTTTGATGTTATAGATTATGACAAAGTGGATAAACCTCAACATCTTGTGATTTTTCTGTGGCAATTTGTGAGGTAATGCCTTTTAGTTGCTATATAACTAAGACCATCTTCTTGTTTCCGTTCCACATTGAATAATCATTCGAATCTCTTGTCACAAGCATCGCCATGCTACACTATCTTTTCCATGTTAAGATTAAACCATCATTTGCGATCAATCCATTTGCCACCATTAAGTATTTCTCCTCCTCAGCGCCTTCTATCACATCTTTTCTCCTAAAACAATGCAAATCCTTAACCCAAACCTACCTCATCCATCAGCAGATGGTAGTCCAAAACCTTACCCACATCCCCACTTCCCACCTCATTGCTGCTTACATTTTCCACAACTCTCCTTCCCATGCTCTATCCCTTCTGATACGCCGTTCACCCTCAGCTTCCTCCTCCTACGGGTGGAATATGCTAATCCGTCGTGCTGTTAACCTTAGGCTACTTCACAATGCACTCCATCTTTTCCTCCTTATGGTGAGGTGTGGATGGCATCCTGATCAGTACACTTTCCCTTTCGTCCTTAAGGCCTACGGGGAGCTCAACTACTTTTGTAGTGGCTCTTCTGTTCATGCTCTGATTTGCACAAGTGGGTTTGATTCAAATGTCTTTGTTTGCAATGCACTAGTGGCTATGTATGCTCGATGTGGGGCCTTGGGCTATGCTCAACAGATGTTTAACGATATGTATCAGAGAAGGATTTATGATAGTGTTTCATGGAATACAATTGTAGCAGCTTACATGCAAAGCGGCAATGTAGAAACTGGGTTTATGTTGTTTGATAAAATGACTGCTGATGTAAAAGTTCGGGTGAATGCTGTTAGTCTTGTCAATGTGCTTCCTGCATGTGCATCCGTTGGCTCGTGGTTGAGGGGTAAGCAAGTGCACGGTTATGCAATGAGGAATGTGTTGTTTGAGGATGTATTTGTGGGAAATGCATTGGTGGATATGTATGCGAANTTCTTACACTTTTGTTTTGCACACTTGCTGTTTGCTGAAATGCTTGAGTTAGGATTCTATTTAAGTTAATTATTGTTATTGATAGTTAGATAAACTTGGAGAATTCAATATCCTTCGAAGATGGCTGTTTGTAGTTAGAAAGTTTAGGGATGATGATTATTCTTTTATTTTCCAGGTGCAGGTTTGCGAGTTAAGATTGTTTTTGTGTTGCATGAGAAGAATTGTTGGTTTGATGTTATAGATTGGATTATGACAAAGTGGATAAGCCTCAACATCTTGTGATTTTTCTGTGGCAATTTGTGAGGTAATGCCTTTTAGTTGCTATATAACAAAGACCATCTTTTTGTTTCCGTTCCACATTGAATAATCATTCGAATCTCTTGTCACAAGCATCGCCATGCTACACTATCTTTTCCATGTTAAGATTAAACCATCATTTGCGATCAATCCATTTACCACCATTAAGTATTTCTCCTCCAGAGCGCCTTCTATCACATCTTTTCTCCTAAAACAATGCAAATCCTTAACCCAAACCTACCTCATCCATCAGCAGGTGGTAGTCCAAAACCTTACCCACATCACCACTTCCCACCTCATTGCTGCTTACATTTTCCACAACTCTCCTTCCCATGCTCTATCCCTTCTGATACGCCGTTCACCCTCAACTTCCTCCTCCTACTGGTGGAATATGCTAATCCGTCGTGCTGTTAACCTTAGGCTACTTGACAATGCACTCCATCTTTTCCTCCTTATGGTGAGGTTTGGATGGCATCCTGATCAGTACACTTTCACTTTCGTCCTTAAGGCCTACGGGGAGCTCAACTACTTTTGTAGTGGCTCTTCTGTTCATGCTCTGATTTGCACAAGTGGGTTTGATTCAAATGTCTTTGTTTGCAATGCACTAGTGGCTATGTATGCTCGATGTGGGGCCTTGGGCTATGCTCAACAGATGTTTAACGATATGTATCAGAGAAGGATTTATGATAGTGTTTCATGGAATACAATTGTAGCAGCTTACATGCAAAGCGGCAATGTAGAAACTGGGTTTATGTTGTTTGATAAAATGACTGCTGATGTAAAAGTTCGGGTGAATGCTGTTAGTCTTGTCAGTGTGCTTCCTGCATGTGCATCCGTTGGCTCGTGGTTGAGGGGTAAGCAAGTGCACGGTTATGCAATGAGGAATGTGTTGTTTGAGGATGTATTTGTGGGAAATGCATTGGTGGATATGTATGCAAAATGTGGAATGATGGAGGAGGCGAAGAAGGTTTTTGAGAGGATGAAGGTGAAGGATGTGGTTTCTTGGAATGCCATGGTTACAGGGTATTCTCAAATTGGTAACTTTGAAGATGCTCTTGGGTTGTTTGAGAAGATGATGAATGAGAAGATACAATTAGATGTTGTGACGTGGAGTGCTGTGATTTCAGGATATGCACAGAGGGGACATGGGTATGAAGCGTTGGACGTATTTAGACAAATGCAGTCTTGTGGGTCAAAGCCAAATGTTATTACTCTTATGTCACTTCTTTCAGGTTGTGCTTCTGTTGGAGCATTGCTTCATGGAAAGGAGACACATTGTTATGCCATCAAATGTTTTTTGAGTTTAAATCTAAGCGATTCAGGAGATGATCTTGTGATAATTAATGCTTTAATTGACATGTATGCTAAGTCCAAGAAACTTGATGTGGCGCGTGCAATGTTTGATACAATTGCACCAACAGATAGGAATGTTGTGACTTGGACTGTCATGATTGGTGGTTATTCTCAACATGGGGAAGCCAATGATGCACTAAGACTTTTTGCTCAAATGGTCCAGCAGGATAGATCTGTAAAGCCAAATGCTTTCACTTTATCTTGTGTTCTGATGGCTTGTGCTCGTTTGGCTGCACTGAGGTTTGGTAGAGAAATTCACGGTTTTGTTTTGCGGAGCCAGTATGAATCAAATATTCTATTTGTGGCTAACAGCCTTCTGGATATGTATTCAAAATCAGGAGATATTAATACTGCTAGAGTTGTATTTGATAACATGCTGCAAAGAAATGCTGTTTCATGGACATCCTTGATGACAGGTTACGGTATGCATGGGCATGGAGGTGAAGTTCTCCAGCTTTTTGATGAGATGAAAAAAAAAGGTCTAGTGCCTGATGGTGTAACCTTCCTTGTGGTGCTTTATGCTTGTAGCCACTCAGGAATGGTTGATCAAGGATTAAAGTATTTCCATGGCGTGAGTAAGGAATTTGGTATTAGCCCAGGGCCAGATCACTTTGCTTGCATCATTGACTTATTGGGTCGTGCGGGTCATTTGGATGAAGCTATGAAACTTATAAAAGATACGCAAATGGAACCAAGCCCTGTTATTTGGGTGGCACTGCTTAATGGTTGCAGGATCCATGCTAATGTGGAACTCGGGGAATATGCTGCAAATCAATTGCTAGAATTGGAGTCAGAGAATGATGGCTCATATACGTTGCTCTCAAACATCTACGCAAATGCTGGGCGTTGGAAAGATGTAGCCAGGATTAGATTTTTGATGAAACATACTGGGATTAGGAAGAAGCCTGGTTGCAGCTGGGTACAGGGAAAGAAAGGCACTGCAACCTTCTTTGTAGGTGACCGGACCCATCCACAGTCTCAAAAAATATACGAAATCCTTGCAGACTTGATTCAACGCATTAAAGCCATGGGATATATCCCAGAGACAAGCTTTGCACTTCATGATGTGGATGATGAAGAAAAAGGTGATCTTCTTTTTGAACACAGTGAGAAATTGGCTCTTGCATATGCAATCCTAACAACAGCTCCAGGGGCACCCATCCGGATCACAAAGAATTTACGCATCTGTGGTGATTGCCACACTGCTATAACTTACATATCCATGATTATTGAATATGAAATTATTTTGAGAGACTCAAGCCGCTTCCATCATTTCAAGAACGGATCTTGCTCCTGCAGAGACTATTGGTGACGCNAAATGTGGAATGATGGAGGAGGCGAAGAAGGTTTTTGAGAGGATGAAGGTGAAGGATGTGGTTTCTTGGAATGCCATGGTTACAGGGTATTCTCAAATTGGTAACTTTGAAGATGCTCTTGGGTTGTTTGAGAAGATGATGAATGAGAAGATACAATTAGATGTTGTAACGTGGAGTGCTGTGATTTCAGGATATGCACAGAGGGGACATGGGTATGAAGCGTTGAACGTATTTAGACAAATGCAGTCTTGTGGGTCAAAGCCAAATGTTATTACTCTTATGTCACTTCTTTCAGGTTGTGCTTCAGTTGGAGCATTGCTTCATGGAAAGGAGACACATTGTTATGCCATCAAATGTTTTTTGAGTTTAAATCTAAGCGATTCAGGAGATGATCTTGTGATAATTAATGCTTTAATTGACATGTATGCTAAGTCCAAGAAACTTGATGTGGCGCGTGCAATGTTTGATACAATTGCACCAACAGATAGGAATGTTGTGACTTGGACTGTCATGATTGGTGGTTATTCTCAACATGGGGAAGCCAATGATGCACTAAGACTTTTTGCTCAAATGGTCCAGCAGGATAGATCTGTAAAGCCAAATGCTTTCACTTTATCTTGTGTTCTGATGGCTTGTGCTCGTTTGGCTGCACTGAGGTTTGGTAGAGAAATTCACGGTTTTGTTTTGCGGAGCCAGTATGAATCAAATATTCTATTTGTGGCTAACAGCCTTCTGGATATGTATTCAAAATCAGGAGATATTAATACTGCTAGAGTTGTATTTGATAACATGCTGCAAAGAAATGCTGTTTCATGGACATCCTTGATGACAGGTTACGGTATGCATGGGCATGGAGGTGAAGTTCTCCAGCTTTTTGATGAGATGAAAAAAAAAGGTCTAGTGCCTGATGGTGTAACCTTCCTTGTGGTGCTTTATGCTTGTAGCCACTCAGGAATGGTTGATCAAGGATTAAAGTATTTCCATGGCGTGAGTAAGGAATTTGGTATTAGCCCAGGGCCAGATCACTTTGCTTGCATCATTGACTTATTGGGTCGTGCGGGTCATTTGGATGAAGCTATGAAACTTATAAAAGATACGCAAATGGAACCAAGCCCTGTTATTTGGGTGGCACTGCTTAATGGTTGCAGGATCCATGCTAATGTGGAACTCGGGGAATATGCTGCAAATCAATTGCTAGAATTGGAGTCAGAGAATGATGGCTCATATACGTTGCTCTCAAACATCTACGCAAATGCTGGGCGTTGGAAAGATGTAGCCAGGATTAGATTTTTGATGAAACATACTGGGATTAGGAAGAAGCCTGGTTGCAGCTGGGTACAGGGAAAGAAAGGCACTGCAACCTTCTTTGTAGGTGACCGGACCCATCCACAGTCTCAAAAAATATACGAAATCCTTGCAGACTTGATTCAACGCATTAAAGCCATGGGATATATCCCAGAGACAAGCTTTGCACTTCATGATGTGGATGATGAAGAAAAAGGTGATCTTCTTTTTGAACACAGTGAGAAATTGGCTCTTGCATATGCAATCCTAACAACAGCTCCAGGGGCACCCATCCGGATCACAAAGAATTTACGCATCTGTGGTGATTGCCACACTGCTATAACTTACATATCCATGATTATTGAATATGAAATTATTTTGAGAGACTCAAGCCGCTTCCATCATTTCAAGAACGGATCTTGCTCCTGCAGAGACTATTGGTGACGCTGGAATGTTACTGTCCAGTTGAGTAATTAAATGTTTTGAAGCTTTTGAAATGTAAATTTTTTTTTTCTGTATACTTTCATTATACTTTTTTGCCAGGTATTTGAAGTCGGCAAATAGAAATAGTTTTTTGACACTGCAATTTGTTTGTGTGTGTGTGTGTGTGTATTTAAAGGTTGTAATGGGTTCAATATTCTTTTAGTAAGCGAGTATTGGTAGCTGGAAGTTGATGGCCAGCTCTCTACTCTATGCGAAGCAATTCGTAAGCTCAAACTCCCCTTGTTACATTTTCTTGTTGGAGAGATTCGAACTAAGTCGTATGTGCTAAGTCAATTGTTTGAAGACATCTATTCTTATGGCCATTGCAGGGAGATCAATACAAATTGTTGATCAGTGCTCATGTTTACAAGAAGCAATTCTTTCTCAAACTTGTCCACTTCAAAAAATTAGTAAACACTTTCATTTCACTTCAATTCTATGCTTGTAGGTTCCCTGTGCTTGGCTAGTCTATGAGAATTTAGTCCCCAATTTTACCATTTATGATGTTGAATATCCAGATCATCTGTTTTGCAAGTTCACTGATGACAGTCAATACCTGAAAAGTTATGCAGAAACCATCAGGATGTGATTGTTTATAGACCAACATGGCTGTTGTTTTCATGTAAGGAGGAATATCATGAAAAGCCCGGAGGTTTGAGAGTTTTTTCACCCAAATATATACAAGGACTTTTTTTTTTTTTTTTTTTTTTTTTTTGTTTATGATGGAGAATAACAAATTCTGACTTGTGCTACAGAGAATCTGTTCCATTCATAGAAAAAATAACATTTCGCCTCATGAGGTTGGATGTAATGGTCCTTCTTTATGATTCTATTAATATAGCCAGTGAAAGCGTGTATGGTTGTAGGATGATTTACTGGCATTGTTACCGAACCAGGAACACAGGAAGCTTTGTTGATGTGCAGGCAGTTGGTATATTTTCTTGCGGAGATGATGGCCTTCACGTATATCAATTTTCTAGCTTTTGACGTGAATTCTGTCTTCAGCAGCATGCATTTTGTAATTGTGCTGACTTGTCATGCAGAATTGCTCTTAATAATATCTGAAATTGAAATTTCACTTCATTATTTTGTTGTTATTGTGACCATAAATTACAAGTTTTTCATGAAGAAGAAGAAAAAATAAAATACTCTTAATTGTAAAATCGTGTTGTGTAACATAACTCTAAAGACGTCAGTTTATTGAAATTTGTGTTCACTTCCTTTTAGTTTTTTGAAATATGTCCTCTAATTCCTTCCAACAAACAATTAGTTAGTGATAATTGGAAATACGAATCCCATGGGTTTTTGGCATTTTAATTTCCACATATGAATCACATGATGATTTCAACCGAAACCGAAAGCTGGCATTTAGCTAGTCTAAATCCAGACCGACATTACTCTTGTCTTCTACCTCTTTGGACCAAAACATAACACGTGCGGTTTCAGAGTCAAAGATTTTAGGTCAAAATCACATGCTTCCTCATTTTACTTTTGAAAATTCAAACTTCACCCCCCACGCTTTGGATTGTATTATTTTCTAAATTGGGATGGAAGTTTTTTGAGCCATGAATCCTTTTCCCTTTCGCTTTCGCTTTCAAATTTCATAGCTAATTTCTCCCGCATGGCATCGGACACAAACCTACCCTTTTTTTAACATAATGGAACATCATAATTTTTAGCCAATAGCTGGTGTTTTATGGTTGCTACCAAGCACACGTGATTTTAGCTGGCCTGATAAAATATTATTGATCACAAAGTTCATTCTTGGGCTCAAAGAAAGTTCATGATTGTAGATATAAAATTAATTAATTTTTTTTTTATGATAAAAAATAAGATAGAATTTGGTTCGTTAATTTTTTTTTAAAATACAATCCTAAAAACTAATACAAATCTAGAAAATGAAAAAATAAATACCGTTTTTTTTTCTTAATTTCTTTTACAATTTTTAACTTGGAAAATGGTTTTCGAATACCATCCTAAAGTCAAAAGAATATTTTAATATAACCTAGATTTTTAAACTATATTTTNAAAGTTCTTTCTTGAGCTCAAAGAAAGTTCATGCTTGTAGATATAAAATTTAAATATTTTTTTTTTTTATGATAAAAAATAAGATAGAATTTGGTTCGTTAATTTTTTTTTAAAATACAATCCTAAAAACTAATACAAATCTAGAAAATGAAAAAATAAATACCGTTTTTTTTTCTTAATTTCTTTTACAATTTTTAACTTGGAAAATGGTTTTCGAATACCATCCTAAAGTCAAAAGAATATTTTAATATAACCTAGATTTTTAAACTATATTTTAGTTTATAAAATTATTTTCGGATTACAAACCAACCTTAACGTGCATTATGAAACTTGCCCTTTTTTTTTTTTTTTTTTTAATGTGTAATTTAACTAGATATTCATTATGTTACTAATTATCATTACTATTATGATAGCACACTCATATTAATGGAACAAATTAATATTGCACTACACTTTTTAGTTCAACAATAATTAACTAATTAGATATTTGATAATATTACATGATCCATTAATATCACCCAGTTTACAAACTAAAATAATTCAAAATTGTGTCTTGGAACATGTTGGGTCAAACTTTTAAGAACCCAAAACCCCATTAATTCAATTAATATAATAAAATCAAATTAAATATAATATTTTGTAGTATCAGAGGGATCTCCTTGAAGAATCTCAGACACAAATACTTGTCGTACGCAACCTTAATACTGTGGAAGAGAAGAAAAAGATCATCAATGTATTTGCCTTTAAATGTTTGGTTGCTTTACATGTAAGTCACAAAGAATGAGGTCAATGGTATAAATTAAAACTCCCAGAAAACCCTCTTGGGAATTACTTGCATCTATTTTTTAAAAGGATAAAGTTTTCGATTGAATGGTCCAATCAAAATCTTGTTGATTAAATAAATAATATTGGTCATTTGCAAAATTGTAAAGTGTTGTAACCCTTTCATCAGACACATGCAGGAGAAATCCAACGATAAAAGAGATATTCTTTTGTAATTACACCAATTAATCACTTTGATTAGCTAATAATTATATGGTTAATTAGATGATGCCCTACCTAATAACACTTCATTCTACTTTCTACCTGCTTTTGCCTTAGTTAGTAAGAAATTTTATTTAACACAAAAACGATAATTTTATTTACTCTCATAAAAATGGTAAGAAATTTGTCAATAAACATACGAATAAAACTTGAAAATGTTTGATTGAGTTGTATAATATTTTAATGTTTTTACTAGCATCATTTAACAAGATCATATGATATAAATAATATGAACGCACCCAGTCCAATAAAAATTTACCTCTTTTTTATGTTTATTGTACCATAATTGATAAGAGTAATATTACATTTACACCACTCTTTTATACCATATTTATTATATCATGACGTGACATATGTTATAACCATATAAATTTTTAATTATTTTTAATTTTTAATATTATAATAAAATTTGTGTAGTTGTGGTATATGTCATGTCATGATGTAATAAAAATGATGTAAAAGAGTGGTGTAAATATAACATCATCTTTTTTTAAATCCAATCTAACTCCCACACCAAAAATATTAAAAGATAAAAAATTTGAATTAAAATTAAATTATGTAACCAAACATAATCCATATTTTAAAAATATAGAAGACTTGGATTTGGATATGTAGAGACTATTCTTATTTAACCCAACGCCATCTAGAAAGCTATTGTATTGGATGAATCCATACCTAAAAATAAGACGAATTTGGACTAGAAAGCTATTTGAATAGGATTAATGAAAGACTTAAAAAGTAAATTATGGTCCAAAGAGAGAGGTAGTGGAATCTCTCTGTCAACACCACAAACCTTAGACTTAAATCTTATGCTTATTATCTCTTACCTTTCTAAGGTTTAAGAAAATATTAACAGGGCCCCATAGGTATTACAAACTATCAACTACCTCCTTTCACATTTAATAAAATCAATACTTACTCCACTGATAGTTAATTTCGACTATCAAACTTCAAAATTAAAAGGATGTAAGTGATGATTTTTCCAAATCTAAAAGAGGTTATCATACCTTAAAAGGTTTGGTAAAGGGAGGTCATTAATGATTTCTCATATCTTAGGGATTTTACGAAAATTGCCTTAAACCTGAGGGTGATGCGAGATTAAATCTTAATTACCTTCATCGTAAGGGCGGGATCCAATTCAAAATTCCATTTGGCCTCAATATTGGCGTCCGGATAAAGGCAATTTCAGTCAAACTTCACAGTGTCAAACTTTCAATTTTTTATACAAACTGCTTCTCTTCACAAATTAATAATAAACATAAAACCCTCCTCTCACCAAATCCCAAACTCATCAAATCTCTCTCTTCTTCCCTCATATAAAACCATCGTCTTCTCCTCCTAATCCATCAATCCACATAAATTATTTGATTAACCAAGAAATCAATAGTATTATTATGTGCTGATGGGTATCAAGCTTTTGAATCTCCAGCTGATTCCATGGTGTTTTCACTTCACGGGCAATCCCATATCTTGTTTACAGCTCCAGCCCGACCAGTCGCGGCTCCGGACGATAAAGCTGATAAAATCCGATGGGTTCGTCAAGATCTACGACCGCCCCATCCATGTCTCGGAGCTCATGATGGAGTTTCCGAAGCATCTCGTATGTCGCTCTGATTCGTTTTACATCGGTCAGAAGATCCCGGCGTTATCGGAATCCGACCAGCTTCAGCTCGGCCATAAGTACTTCCTCCTTCCTAAACATTGCTTTCAATCCGTTCTTTCCTTCGTCACCATCGCCTCTTTGGCATCGCCGCAAGCTCAGCCGTCTTCCAGAGAGTCGAGAAACGCGTTTCTGAAGAAGGCGGCGTCCTGCCAGCCGTTTGATATACAAAAATCTCCATCTGGCTGTGCGAGAATACGCGTTTGTGATGAATTTATATCGCAGTTGATGGAGGAAGGGAAGATCAAAGAGGAGGAAGAAGAAGAAGAGAGTCTGAAGAATTTGAAGAGTAGAATATGCACGACGGTCCAGTTGCAGAAAGATTACACGCGGCTGGTGGGTTGTTCACGACAGTGGAAGCCGAAGCTGGAGACGATAAAAGAGAAAGAAAAGAGAAGACTTTCATCGTTTGGAATAAAGAGAAGGAAGAAATCTCAATCAAAAGGAAGCCATCTTCATCTTCATCATCATCATGTAACTTCAACGAAACCTCCATTGAAATCTAAGATTAAATCAAAAAAAGGATGGTAGTATTTAGATTTTTCTTTTTTCTTTTTAGTTTTCTGGTTGACTTTGTAAAATGATTATACTAGTTCTACTTTAGATTATACAAAAATTAATCAAAGCTCTCAAATTGATTATCATGTGAGTTTTTTTTTTTTTTTAATTTTTGTTTTGATTCATCAAACGTATTATCATAACCGATTTATGTTATTATTATTTAGATAAGTTTTTATTTGAACAAATACAAAAAATAATTTTACAACTCAATATTTTTAATAATTTTAGATTTTATTGACTCTTAATTTTAATTTCGTCGGTTTTCCTTGACCCCTTTTTTTTGTTTGGGTTTAGAATTTGAGGTTTCTTGTTTTCCTATAAAGTAGATATGAAATTTGGTGTAATTCTGAAAAGAAGACCAAACCAACATTTGGATATTGGTCGAAGAGGGTTGGCAATAAATAGTATTAATTGAAAGTAAATGATTTTGGTCCAATGAATGGTCAATTAAAAATGCAAGAGTAATGCTACGTCAATAACCTTTTTCATAAATTTCTGTTACAACTTTTGACCTAACAGCTAAATTGACACTGTCACGTCAAAATAATTTTGACTAGATCAAAGAAACGATCATTTCTTCATAGAGAACGATTGTTGTTTATTAAAGAATAATCGTTCTTCACAAAAAGAATGATCGTTCTTTATGAATGAACAATCAAAAGATTATCGTTCATAAATAAGGAATAACCATTTTTAATGGAGGAAAAAATCATTCCTTAAGGAACAATCATTCTTTATGAAGAAATAATTATTCATTCTAAGTGAATAACCATTCGTTTCTAATAGTGTCTTTGGTGTTTTGGGTACAGTGAGAAGTACTGACGTGACAGTGTCAATCTGTTGACACATTAAAGTTGTAAGAGAAGATTATAAGATTAAATTGTGTCTTATAATTATTCATTCTAAGATTATAAGATTATAAGGAAAAATCATTCCTTAAGGAATAATCATTCTTTATGAAGAAATAATTATTCATTCTAAGTAAATAATCGTTCGTTTCTAATAGTATCTTTGGTGTAGTGAGAACTGACGTGACGGTGTCAATTTGTTAACACATTAAAGTTGTAAGAGAAGATTATAAGATTAGATTCTACACCTAATATTATTCAAAATACAAAATTGTAGTGGGTCAAGGCTCCTAAATGATGGACAACAATTTGCATAAGTGGATTTTAGGACGTAGACATTTTAGTAAGAAAGAGAAATATGCACATCATATATCAAAATCGTCTAAATGAAATGGAAAATAAATATTATGCAGGCATTTTTTTTGTTGACGTGGACCACAAATAATCTTCTATTGCAAGAGTTCTAAATTATACGTTACACTACTAATAAGTTTTTGTATTCCAAATGATGTGATATTTAAAATTAATTTCCAAATGAGAATTTAATTGAATGGATAGTATAATACATTTAGGGAGTTGCTATTCTTACAAAGAAGCCTACAAAGGAGGCATACAAAGTTAATCTCCACCCTTCATCTTCATCATTTCCCTCTCTCTCTCTTTCTCTTTTTCCGTTTTTCTTTTGTTTTTTCCTTCACTTTGTAAGCTACTTTGTAAAATTCTTTGTAAGGATAGATTTATCCATACATTTATGATTATAAGTATATGTGCACTTGGGGATGACGTTGCGAAGATTTATTAGTTGAATGGGGTATTTATGATTACGGGGGAATTGTATCAAGTTGGGTAGGCAGAACTGGGAGTGATTGATAGGTGCCCAAAAATTCAAACTAAACGACAAAGTATGAGTCAAAGAAAGTCAGCAACTTGTTTCAAGTATGCGTGCCTGCGTGCGTCTACTTCATACTTAACGTGCGCAGTCATCCAACCTACGATGTCGTTTCTACGCAACTCTCTGTCTCACATGCTCTCAACTTCAATTCCTTTTCTTCTTTCTTCATTTCATATGCATGCACTTCCCAAAGTACATGCCTGGTCAAAATAGGTCAATTAGTCTTAGTCAATTATATCAAATCATTTATATATGTATATATATATTTTTTTTTTAGCTCCTTTTAATCGATGTCATATATAATTTTTCTTTTAATGTTATATGATCATAATAAACTAACGTTCATATTTAAAAAAAAAGGATTAATCATTTATATATTTATTCAACGATATTTATAAACACATGTTTATTTTGTTTCAAGACGTAATAAGATGTTATCGAGAATAATGAATGTGATATGCTTGTTTTGACCAAATTTCTTTTTCATATTTATGTTCCAATTTTGAAAAACCTCTAAAATACATTGTGCCTACTACATAAGTTAAAGAAACATTATTATTCATTGTTTTTAATAAAAGTCGATACTAAGTCAATATTTGGACGATAACATCACTAGCCATTCTATACTATTATAGGTTCATCGCTCCTATTATAATTCTATTATCATATTATAAAATTTAATGATAAACATATATATATATATACACTTACGTTCACCAACGTTACTCATGTAACGTTGATATTTTCATTAAATACAAATCAGTTTTAAAAATTAATGGTTCACATTTGTTATTTCAAATGTTTTTGTTTAGCCATTGATTGTGATTTATAGCTACCATTAACCAATGTCATTAAGAGTTTGAGGGAAGCTTGACTATATATAATGTTTTGGTCTCTAAGCTCAAGCACTCAACTAAAACAAAATACACCATCAATATTAGAGTGTCTTGAGAGCTTAGAAGAGTCAAAATACAGCTTCGTGAGTTTGTTTCAATAGCTGGAGGTAATCCTTGATTCTTGGTTTATAGTCTAAGAACATTGTATTCTTTGTATTTTTTGTTTATGTTATGCCTGAAAAGGTAGGGCTGACACGGAGTTTTGTCAGCATGGGGTGGTCAGAGCTTAGGGAAGTTCCGCGATCGTTCAGACGCAACCACGTCACATAATGACGTAAGTGGCATGCCCCTGTCAGTACAGTGGGTGAGTGCCAGGTTAGTGGATGGTTGGAAATCGGCTGTGTATCCAATGCCTGCATAAGTCGAGGAAATCATTGGGGCAGGTGAGCAATGGGACGTAGAAAAGGATTTGCGCGGTACCCACCCACTTACAGATTTAGTAATCATTACCTTGATTCATCCCACTATAAATAGAGGACTCCTTTCTCATTTGCGGTATTGACTAATTTCACTCTAGAATAGCTTACTCTCTCTCTATCTCTTGTATTCTCTAAGCTGTAACTCAGTTCGCTGAACGCAACTTGACCTTACTCTCATTAATACAATATCAGTAGACGTAGGATTCGCTTTTGAGCATCCGAACCACTTTAAACATCGCCTTTCACCCTTTTTTTATTAAATTTTCTCTTATCGCATTTGACTTCTAAGCCCGCTTAGCATTTCTCTCGTGCGAATAGTTAGTGTCAAAATCCAACATCAACAGTTTAAATTGAAGATAAGTTGCTTACGGTTGGTATCAGAGTTTTATAATACCTCTGCCTTGATGTTTTGCAAAAGGAATTTTTGAAGCTCTCTGTTCATGGCCGTTTGAATTTTTTTTTTTTTTTTTTTTTTAAAACAAAGTTTGCTTTTTAGTTGTTTTTAATGCAAATAAATTTTAGAAATTATTAGTAAATTGGATTTCTATCATTTCTAGGCTTTGAAACAATCATTTTGGCGTTTAAATGGTGGATTTCCACCTGGGTTTGGCTACTAGGTCGTTTTCGGTTCGGGTATCCGGTTTCAGACCCGATTAAAGGTTGAAGACGACTGGAGCCCAAGATTAATGACAGTCGTTTACTTGTCAATAAAAAAAATTAAATCTGACAATTCTGGGATTTGAACACGTGATCTCCAAGTAAAGAAAGTATGGTACCAAGCCAAACAAGCCACTTACGTTTTTGTCATTTGATTGGTAAAAGCAATTTATACTATGTCTAATTTTGCTCATTTTAATTATACATATTATATTAATTTTGGTTTAATCAAATGCATTTTTGGATAAGTTAAATTGTGCAAAATCCTAAATTAACTATGCTCATATTTATTTTTCATCAATTGATTATATCTTTTCTAAATTAATACATGCAATTTTTGAATGAGTATATATGGATAAAAGCATAAAATTAAATGTTATGCAAATTATGCAATATTTTATGAGAATATTTTATGCATAATAATAACATGTTAGTTGTAGATTGAATTATGCAATTTATTCTTATATTGAATTTTCTTATGCTGGAGACATATTCTCATAAAACTTAAATTTATAATGTCTTGTGATCCATATAATTTTAATTAATTAGAGATTAGCCACAACATCTTTAGTTAAATAAAATTATATATTATGATTGTTTAGGATCACATAAAGAATTATAGACATTAATTGTAATTAATTATACTTAATATAATAAATTTTAACCCACAAGATATTTTTGTTATATTTATATAATTAATTAGGATAGAATATCAAATTATATTTCTTAATTTATTTATAGGAATTAGGAGAAGGAACATAATTTGATAGTTTTACCATAAAGTTTAAGATAGAATATCAAATTACTTTCATAACATACCCACTAATTATGAATTAAGAACATAATTTGATGATTCTATCATAAGCTATACATGAATCTACTTGAATTAAAATTTAAGCTCACAAGCAAATTTTATGTCATTAGATTCAATTCTTACATGTTTTACATTGGTAAAACATGAAAATTATTAGACCTCAAATTTTGACATAAGCAATTTTAATTAATGTAGCTTCACAACCTGCTAGTTTCTTTGATATTCGTTGCGATATCCCTAAATTGAAAGGTGATAACTATAAGGTATGGAAAGAGAGAATTCTCCTCCATTTAGGATAGATAGATATTGACTATGCTATTAGGAAAGATGAGCCACCAACTATCATTGATACCAACACTCCAACGGATATCATGCTTTATGAACGATAGGAGAGATCTAATCGCCTCAACGTGATGTTCATTAAGACTAAAATTTCTGCTAGTATACGTGATTCCGTCGATAAGCATAAAAAGGCTTGGGACTTGCTGAAAGCCATTGATGATCAGATTATCACTTCAGATAAAGCACTGGCAAGCACCCTAATCATGAAGTTTTCATCCATCAGACTCATCAGCATGAAAGGTGTGCGTGAGCACATCATGAATATGAGAGACATTGCGGCTCAACTTAAGAAACTTGAGGTTGAGATGTCTGAATCCTTCCTGATGCATTATAACCTGAACACCCTCCCACAACAATACGAGCCATTCAAAATTTCGTATAACACACATAAGAAACAAATGGTCAATCAATGAATTAATGACCATGTGTGTTCAGAAAGAAGAAAGGCTTGTGATGGAGCTTGGTGAAAGTGCAATGCTGGCAACTACACGCGAGAAAGGCAAACCTCAAGCCAATCAAAAGGGGAAAGGTAAAATACCACCGCAAGCTAATATCAAGAAAGAGGCCAAATGTTTCTTTTGTAAAAAGAAGGGACACATGAAGAAAGAATGCCCCAAATTTCAGAAATGGCTTCAGAATAAAGGTAATCCAACCTCGTTTGTTTGTTATGAATCTAATATGGTGAATATTAATATTAACACCTGGTGGATTGACTTTGGATCTACAATCCATATTGCAAACTCCTTGCAAGGTATGCAAAATCTAAGGAAACTAGTGGGAAGTAAGCAAAGCATCTTATCTGGAAACAAGATGGGCTCACATGTGGAGGCCATAGGAACATGTGTTTTAACTTTAAGTAATGGTTTTGTATTAGAATTAGATAGGAACTTCTATGTTCCAAGTTTTTCACGAAACTTGATTTCAGTTTCCAGACTTGTACTTTTGGGTTACTCCTTTAATTTTTCAAACACATTATTTAGTTTATTTTATAATTTTAATTGTGTTGGGAATGGTATTTTGTCTAATGTTCTTTATCGTATTAATTTGCAAGACAATATCACTTATAATTCAATGCATGTTCACACTAGGTCTAAGCGATGTATTATTAATGAGGACTCCTCTATGTTATGGCATCGGAGATTATGACATATCTCCATAGATAGAATTAAGAGATTAGTGAATGATGGTGTACTTAGTACTCTAGATTTCACTGATTTTGAAACATGTGTGGACTGCATTAAGGGAAAGCAGGCCAACAAATCTAAGAAAGGTGTCAATATGAGTTCGGACATATTAGAAATCGTACATACTGATATATGTAGTTCAGACATGGACTCACATGGTTAGAGATGCTTCATCACCTTTATTGATGATTACTCATGATATATGTATCTCTACTTACTTCATAACAAGAACGAATCATTAGATGCGTTTAAAACCCTTAAGACTGAAGTAGAGAAACAATGCGGAAAGCAAATTAAGATAGTGAGATTAGATAGAGGTGGTGAGTATTATGGTAGATACAATGAGAGTGGACAAGCACCCGGTCCGTTCGCTAAGTTTCTTCAAGAACATGGGAGAGTTGCCCAATATACCATGCTTGGTTCACCGAACCAAAATGGTGTGGTAGAAAGAAGAAACCGAACATTATTGGACATGGTAAGAAGTATGCTCAGCCGCTTCAATCTTCCTAAGTCCTTGTGGACTGAAGCACTTAAGACGGTTGTGTATATACTAGACCGAGTTCTAACCAAGGTTGTCTCAAAGATGCCATTTGAATTTGAAAGGTTGGAAACCGAGTTTGCGACATATGTGCGTTTGAGGATGTCCGTCTGAGGTGAGAATCTATAATCCCCAAGAGAAGAAGTTAGACCCAAGGACCATTAAAGGGTACAAATTTTATTGTCCATTTCACAATACTAGGATTGTGGAATCAAGAAACGCCAAATTTCTTGAGTATGACTTGATTATTGGGAGCGATCAAATCAGAAACAATGTTCTTGAACATGATCATTCAGATTTTCGTCCTTCCACCTCAAGTGATAGATTGGTCATAGTTCACAACACCCCTCAAGTACAAACCAGTGTTGAACAGCCAATCATTGAAGTTCCACAAGCTGCTGACAATGTTCTAGTGGATCAAGTAGTTTAGGAATTACTAGAACCTTCTGAACATCCAGTTGAACCACAAGCTTGTCATGAAGATAATGGTACAATATTAAGGAGATCCACTAGAACTAAAAGGTCAGCCATTCCTAGTGATTATGTAGTGTACCTACAAGAATCTGACTGTAATATTGGAGGTGAGAGTGATCTCGAGTCTTTTTCACAGGCCATGAGTTACAAATAGTCAGAATTATGGTATAATGCCATGAAGGAAGAGATAAGTTCCATGAAGAGTAATGAAGTTTGGGATCTTATTGAGTTGTTTGATGGTGTAATAGTCATTAGATGTCAACGAGTCTTCAAGACAAAGAAAGACTCATTAGACAACATAAAGAGATACAAGGCAAGACTTGGTGCTAAGGGATTCACTCAAAAGGAAGGAATCGACTATACGCAGACTTTTTCTCTTGTATCTAAGAAGGATTCATTACGCATCATATTGGCATTAGTAGCCCATTTTGACATTGAGTTGCAACAAATGGATGTAAAAACAACATTTCTCAATGGAGACCTAGATGAGGAGGTTTATATGAAACAACCTGAAGGATTTTCCTCTAGTGATGGTGAGCACTTGGTTTGTAAGCTTAAGAAATTTATATACGGTCTAAAACAAGCTTCTCGCCAATGATATTTTAAATTCCATGGGGTAATTACTTCATTCGGTTTTGTTGAGAACCTCATGGATCAATGTATATACCAGAAGGTTAGTGGGAGTAAGATATGCTTTCTTATTTTGTATGTGGATGATATTTTGCTTGCAACCAATGATAAGGGTTTGCTATATGAGGTAAAACAATTCCTCTCTAAAAATTTCAATATGAAGGATATGGGTGTCACATTAGGGGTAGGATAAATAATCCGAAAACTAAACCAAAAATTAGGTTTTTTTACAAACCGGTTCGGTTTTCGGTTTGAAAAAAATTTCAAACCGGTTTTACCCTAAATATAAAAGCAAATTTTTTTTTTTCAATGAAACATAAATATTTGAATTTAGGGACTTAAATAAAACATTAAAGAATTTTAAGGATTAAAGGATAATTTGAAAACCGGTTAACCAATAACCGAACCGAAAATTCGGTTCGGTTTACATTCGGTTTTTAATTGAAATCGGTTCAATTTTCTGTTTGAATAAACCGGTTCGGTTAACCAGATTATCCCACCCCTATGTGACATCTTATGTCATTGGCATCAAAATCCACAGAGACAGATTACGAGGTATCTTGGGTCTGTCTTAAGAAACTTATATCAATAAGGTTTTAGAGAGATTTTGGATGAAAGATTGTTCACCAAGTATGGCTCCTGTTGTGAAGGGTGATAAGTTCAATTTGAACCAATGCCCGAAGAATGATTTTGAAACGGAACAAATGAAGAACATTCCATATGCTTCTGTTGTCTTAAGCCTGATGTATGCTAAGGTCTGTACAAGGCCTAACATTGCATTTGTTGTTGGAATGTTGGGACGATATCAAAGTAATCCAGGTATAGACCACTGGAGAGCTACAAAGAAAGTGATGAGGTACCTTCAAGGAACCAAAAACTACATGCTTATATATAGATGGATGGACAATCTAGAAGTAATCGGTTATTCAGATTCAAACTTTGATGGTTGTGTTGATTCACGCAAATCAACATCAGAATATGTTTTCATAATGGCTGGTGGAGCTATATCTTAGAGAAGTGTCAAGCAGTCCTTGACTGCTACTTCCACTATGAAAGTTGAGTTCATTTCCTGTTTTGAAACTCATTTCCTGTTTTGAGGCTACTTCACATGGTGTATGGTTAAAGAATTTCATATCTGGGCTTATAATTCAACTGCTGTCTTTATGGCTAAGAACAACAAAAGTCAAAGTCGAAGTAAACACATTGACATTAAGTACTTAGCCATAAGAGAACGTATTGAGGAAAAGAAAGTGGACATTGAGCACATAAGTACTGAATTGATGATCGTTGATCCTTTTACCAAAGGCATGCCACTATTGAAATTCAAGGATCATGTAGAAAAAATTGGACTTCATTCCACTATGTAGATGTATATACAATGTTTGAATGAAACTCTTATTTATTGTGATGTTTTCTCATATTCATATGCACCTTAATATCATTTGAGAAAACTCATCTGTAGGACCAAGAATAAGCATAGGGTTTATTCATTAAGTAAGGTTGTCATATATAAAGTAAACTTAAGAAATCAAATGCATTGTAGTACATAGAAGATAATACTCATTTTTTAGGACCTGTCGCCATGATTCGTGTATTTGTTTCTTAATGAAATAATGATTAAAATGTAGACCAAGTGGGAGAATGTAAAACTTACGTTCACCAACGTTACTCATGTAACATTGATTTTTTCATTAAATACAAATCAGTTTTAAAGATTAATGGTCCACATTTATTGCTTAAGTTTTTCAAATGTTTTTGTTTAGCCGTTGATTGGGATTTATTGCAGCAATTAAGAGCTTGATGGAAGCTTGACTATATATAATGTTTTGGTCCCTAAGCTCAAGCACTCAATTAAAACAAAATATACTATCAATATTAAAGTGTCTTGAGAGCTTAAAATAGCTAAAATACAGCTTCGTGAGTTTGTTTCAATGGCTGGAGGTAATCCTTGATTCTTGGTTTATAGTCTAAGAATATTGTATTCTTTATATTTTTTGTTTAGATTGCAGATAAGTTGTTTATATATTTATACCTTGTAGTCTTTTTGAGGGAATACCATTTTGTTCTTAAGATCCGACCAAAGTAACACTTTTTTCAATATTTTTGTTTTAATGGTTGCTATCTTTATTTTCTTATTAAATATTAATAAATTTTATAATATATCATTTGTAAACTTCAATAAAAATCAAATTAAAAAGATAACTTCAAATTCCAACCTAATACAAATTTACAATATATATTATAATTATATTTATAAAATCTAATTAATTGTATCAAAAACCAATACCCTAACCTGAAACACAATCATTTGAATTAATTTTTTTTTTGGGAAAAAATGTAATGGAATAAATAGCTTGTAGTTGTATCATGTAACAATGTCTTATTTAATTCAAGTAAATAAATAAATAGCAGGGGTATTGTAGATTTTACATAACAATAGAAGGTGTTGGTGAACAATTTTGTTTAATGGTTGCCAATATAAAGGTGATAGTGTCACTTCTTATAACATCAAGTGATAAAAAGTCATTTTTTATTAGAATAATACTATACCAGCATCTTATCTTACAAACATTTTCTCATAATTCTGACGTGACAGTTTGTAGTTGTTCAATTTACAACGAGCCTTACATGGGTTTTGCATAGGTCCCATTAATTAATTAATCAATTGTAAACTATTATGTCACATTAATTAATTACAAGTTGATCAATTATAAACTATTATATCAGAATTATAAGAGAAAGTTGTTGGTGTAGTATTACTCTTTTAATTATTATTATTAATACAATGTAAATGTGACATGAGATATTATTGCGATATATATTTTTGTCTGCATAATTTACCTTCATTGGATCAAAGCCCCGGAATTATTGAGTGTGAATTAATTGAAAATCTAGAATCTAGAGCCCCGTGAAGCTTATTGTTAAAATAAATAAAATTGGTTTTTATTTTTTGAATTAAATATTAAATATGTCAGAAATGCTTGACCAACTACCCCGATACCGATATTGCCCCTCCTAGGCTTATTTTATCTTTTAAATGATTCCTCACATCAATAAATCTAGTACATCATAGAATTTTCAACATATTATTTAAGTATAATATAATCTACTATGGGTCAGTTTGGTCCGGGGTTAAGTGACATTACTGGAGTAATGTCATCTTATATTACTTAATTACCACGTTTGGTTGTCAAGTAATATAAGATACCAGTAATCTTCAAATACCAATAGTGGTTACTATTGGTAATATAAGAGGTAATCTGATTACCTCCATTTTCTTAGGTTTTCTGAGATTACTAGGGTTATTTTTTTTTGTTATAATTTTATCCCTTATTAATAAAAATTTTGGACAATAATACTCCTACTTTAAAACAAATTTACATTAATATCCTATTTCAATTTTACCCTTGTTTAATTAAAATTTTGGACAATAATGCCCTTATATTTAAAATAATTTACAGACCACATGCCACCAAGCAGCCACCACCACGCCACCCAGCCACCACCGCCGACAGCGGGTCAACCACCACGGACCACCACCGAAAAATTACCGGCCAGATCTGGCCCGATATGGCCGTTTTCGGCCATCAAACGGCCATAGCGGAGCCTCTTGGTCACGGTGACGTACTCACGGGCACATCCGGCAGTGGTTCGCGGTGGCGGCTGGAGGTGGGGGTGATTTCGTCATAAATTAAAGTTTTATATAAGCAGGGGTGTTTTAGCTAAATCTGAAATATTGGGGTTAAAAGAATTATTCAAAAATAATAATAAAATAATTTTATATTAATTTAAAAGGGGGACAATTTAGTAATTTAAATAGCATACCCACCAATTTATTCCCATAAAACATATTAATATAACATACCACCAACTAACAAACATATTTTTCTAAAGATTCCAGTAATCTTTCAAGGTAATCTATCTTTCCAGTATTCAATATTCCCAGTAATAACATTCGTGAACCAAACGCCCCTATATGTCACCAATGAGGTGGGTAAATTTTTTTAATTTCTCTAATTACACATATATAAAAAACTACTTCCTCTTACATGATTTTCGTCAATCTACTTCCTTATGGGCTTCCAAGCTACTTCCTCTGGGCCTCGTTACTTCTTATATAATTTGTTAAGAAGCTCCTAAAATATTCATGTTCTTGTTACTCTTAATTGAATTATTGTGTCTTACTTAGCAAACAAAAAAAAAAAAAATTATGTGTCTTTACACGCTTTACACTTATAATCCATCCTATGTATACGTTAAAAGGTTCACTTTATTACCCATATGAGATCGCTTAATATGAATGCATCCACTATTATTGATTTTATTTTTTTTCAAATAAATTCTTATAATTATCAAAAATCTCCCTTAAAAATGCAAAACTCTCCATTAAATTAATCTTTGTATAATTAGCAAATGTCTGGTTCATATAAATAAACCGTACTAGAAAATGCTTAATATCTATTCATCATATGCCTCTTGGAAGCAATTTTGTTTCATGTCTTGTCAAAATTCTTTTATCCAAACCTACTTATTAGGTTAGGGTTATGAAAGTTGGATTAGGGTTTATGTAAGATAAAAGGTTAAAATTAAAACGAAAATAGAAATAGAGAAAAATGTATTTAAAAATTATAATGTTATTTCTATTAATTTTAATTAAGGCTAAACTTGTCAAAAAAAAAAAAAAAAAAAAATTCAGTTCCCATTAGATTGTTAGGTCTATTTTTATTTCAAATATATCCAAATTGTTCAATAAATTCTCTCTCATATTTTTCTTGTGTTTAATTAAACAAAAATAAAATTGATTAAAATTAAGTTTGTAATCATGTTGAAACTTAAAAGTTCACACCATAAGTTGATAATGAACTTGAAATTTTGTTGACTTCATATAAAGAATGAAAAAGTTTCAAAATTCAATGCAATATGAATTTTTAATTTTTCCCTACAAAAACATTGTAAGTTTTATTTCTTAACATTTTTATATCATTTATTGTCATAGAACTTATTTAAAGTTAAAAGCACTTTTGTAATTGTTTGGTTGAATTTCAAAAGTGCTTACAAGATTTTAAATTTGATTTAATCTATTCTTGTAATAATAAAAAACCTTTTTAAGTAAAAATATTAAAAGACTCTATAGACTTTCTAACTTTTTTTTTTTAATAAATTTCATAAAGAATTATTACCCTCACCTCCCCTAAGGTTTCAATTTAACAGTCACACCCCAAAGGTATGAAAAATTAGCTCTGACTCACACACTTTGAAGATATCGAATCCCTCACCTTATGGCTGAGTACTTTCACCCCAATGATACCGGTTAATATTTAATCCAGTTTATTTGAATATGTTAAAAACACCCCGTTGTTAGTGATATATTATACTCCATCCACTTAACAAATTTCTTAAATCCTTCAATAAAAAATTCCATATATTATTGAAATTGTGCTTTAAAGGGATGAAGTAGTAATAGTTATTGATAATTATCTTACAAAAAAATGGGATTATATGAAAAAAAAAATAAGTAAATTAATCATACAAAACTCATAAGATGCTTGGTGGTTAGTTTGTAAAGTAGACATAGAAAAGTAGGCTCTGTTTGGTTCATTATTCTAATAGTTTTTAGAATAATCTTTTGAAAAAAGTTAAATTGGGCAGGTATTACGATGTAAGATTTGAAAATAACAAAAATATCCCCTATGTTTATTATTTACTAACACTCCTATAATAAAATATTAAAAGTTAACAAAATACCCCCAACCCACCCATTAAATACGGACAGCCGAAGTGTTTTTGTAATTTCTAAAAAAAATATTTAGGGGTGTTTAGTTAAATTAACAAATTTAGAAAGTTAAAAAAAATTAAAAAATAGAATAATATTTTTGGATAATGACATTTTATTGTTTAACTTTTTAGGAATACTAATAATGTATTCCCAAAGCGAAACAAACCAAGCCGTAGTTTCTTTACTACGAAGACTAAACAAACATGTTTCCACCAAAGTTAAGCGAAATCCTAGGCTTCGTTTGGTTCAAAATTTGGAGGTTTTGGGAAAAGTTTTTTGAAAAAAGTTAAAAAAAAGTTGAATTGGCGGGGTATTACGATGTAGGATTTATAATTAATAAAATACCCCTTATGTTTGTTTTTTTCAAAATACCCCCTATAATAAAACATTAAAAGTTAACAAAAACACCCCAACTCACCCTAAACACCCCAGCCGGCCACCACCACGGAGGTGCCGGAGTAGCCTTATCGGCGAATGATTGGCTGGATCTTGCCGGTCATGAGTCGATATGGCCTTTTCGGCCAGATCCACGGTGGATCTGGCTGGCAAATGCTAGATCTACGGCCACTGGCCGTCAACGGTAGATCTGGCCGTATTTGCTCTCAACGACGACCACAAACGGTCGTCGTGGCCAAAGATCTGGCCGTCAACGGCCAGATCTTTGGCCTTAGATTAGCCTTTTTGGCCAGATCCACCATGGATCTGGCCGGAAAAGGCTAGATCGACGCACTACTGACAGATTCAGCCAGTAGTGCGCCATCCACCAAATTCTGGCCATTTCCCGCAGTGGTGGCCAGAATCTGGTAAATGGGATTGTTAGGGTGTTTTTGTAATTTTTAAAAAAATTTAGGGGTATTTAATTAAATTAACAAATTTAGAGGGTTTAAAAAAAATTGAATAATATTGAAAATAGTATTCCCAAAAATAGAGAGTTTTTGGGTTTTTTACTGTTTAACTTTTTGGGAATACTAAGAGTAGTATTCCAATCTTGAACCAACAAAGCCTAATGTAATACCATTGGTTTTATTATTCCAATATCTTGAAAGATTCAGCATGCATGAAGAGTGGTGGAGAGGAATGAAAGCATGAAAGCATGGATTAAAAAAAACGGTTTACATGCAAAGCTGGATATGAGATTATACCTACTCCTTTGCTGGATTGATGAAGATTAGTTCAAAAGGATGAACCTCCACACTTAACACCACCTTGAGAGGATTAGAGAGTGGCCTTGGCTAGGGAGAGAGAGCTTTTAGTTTGTGTTTGAGTGAACAAGTGAATAATGAACAAAAATGCAACCTTTTGCACTTATATAATTGGGCTATTTTGCAATTATTTATTTTTCACTCAAGCCCAATAAAATCTTATTTATAAAGGGACCCCACGAATTTAATATGCTACCCTTTGAATAATCAATATTATTCAAGGGCCCATGTAAACTAAACTAGTACATTAACAACCCATAAATTTACCCTTTTTACCCTTTAACTATTAAAAGGTTATTTTTGTTCATCTCATTAATCTTAACACTTTAAGATATAATAATTAAATATAATTAATTATTGCTTGACCATTTTAACCCTTAAAATGTCACAAATTGTTTTCTATGTAAATATACTATAGAAATCCGTTATTCCCTCGGAAGGTGCTAGCCCTCTAGATAATCATTTCTCTCTCTCATCATTCTCAACTTCTCAAGGCTATTGGTGTGACCATGTAGGTCCACGTGGATAGCGTGAGCGGTTCTGGATGAATCCGGAAACCCGTCGGAGGCCCACGACTATGGTAAACATCTAGCAATGTGCCTAGTCCCTAAACCACGATGAAGAAATACTTCATCGAACCCATTTCAGATCATACGTACCACGAGGAAAGTCCCTCCATTGAGATATCCTAATCGAGTAGGATTCATGGAACGTCAAAATCCTAAACGTTCTTCTACCGAATTGTCGATCAATATGTCGGAAATTGTCATCACAAACTTACTTTTGTGACTAATAATAGACTCGGCTAGAGATTCAATTTTCCGACATTTATCGATGTTCGTCTAGGAACTCGAATCGGATGGATCAGCGGTACTCCGATCCTATATTTCCGAGTCAAGGATCCCCTCGACCATCGTTCGTTTCGCATATGAACAACGCATGACCAAATAGGCTTTATGTACGAAACATGATTAGTCTCGTACTTATACACGATTGAACCATAAGCATCCATATCGGATCCGACTACAATGTCTCAGGTAAAGGACTACATCGTGCACTGTATAACCAAACGTAAATCATTGACTACATGCTTTTCCAGTGATTTGTCGTTATCGTCACGTTCGAAAAACAGTTCACCAACCGTTAATCCATACCAATGCCTAGTGACATGACTACATCGTCATCCGTACTTATATCAACTCATGATATCTTTCGGAAGCATCGGCTATGCCTACTGTACAATATAGTTGCCCAAATTTATATTGCTTCCGCAGGGAACCTTTTTCGATAATTCATTTACCTATTAAATGAATCATCTGGACAATTCATATACATACTTTATTTTAAATGCATGACTGAATAAAGGAAGCAATTTACATATATGAATTGAAGAACTCTTTCTTCTATTATTTATGATATATATAGATACAAGACAAAATACTCTGAAACCGACAACACGAATGGTTTCTAGGGCATACACTAATATACACTAACAATATCCACCCTTAAATTAACACAATTTCCTTTATTTTAACAGTGAAGGGGCAAATTGGTCTTTTTCTTTTTCCCCCTCTTCCCTTCCCATTTCTTCCCCAGTACGCCTCCTCCTCTCATCTTCTTCCTCTTCCCTTTCCCTTTATTCCTTATCTCCTCCTCCTCCTCCTATCTTTTCCTTTTTCCCTCCACACCTCCTCCTCCTCGGTGCCTCACCATCCCAACCCACCCCCTCAACCACCTTGACTCCCCTTTTCGCCGTCACCCTTCACCTCAAGTGTCGCACTTCGCCAACTTCTTTCCGGCAGCCCCATCACCAAAAATCTTCATCAAACCCACCATTTAACTCATCAAAGAGCCCTCTCCAACAACCCATGATTTCCATCCCCGATTTCTCACCTTTCAACACCGATTTAAGCCCTCTCTCCCTAGGGTTTCTATTTTGTTTTTTGCTTTTGCTTTTGTATTTTGTATTTTGTTTTATGTTTTTTTTGTTTTTCTTATTGAAATGGTGTGATTTTTGGTGGTTGCTATTGGGTGTGGAATGGGGTGATTTGGCCGACTGTGATAGTGGTTTGGACGCTGTGATGGTTTTGGGATGGGGTGGTTTAGAGTGGGATGTGGTGGTGGTGGTTTGGTATGCTGTGGGATTTGGAACGGGGTAATTTGGATGGCTATGGTGGTGGTTTGGGATGGGGTGGTTTGGAATGGATTCTGGTGGTGGTTTGGCTGGCTATGGTGGTGCGGTGGTGGTTTGGCTAGCTATGGTGGTGTCGTGATGGTTTGGAATGGGGTGAAGGGCGGTTTAGTAATAACATCCGTCAGAACCCAATAATCACTAACTGTATTAATTTAAGGGTGGGTATTTAAAATAAATGAAATAGGGAGTATTAACTTAGGCTTTAGCTAAACCTTGGGTGGGAATATTTTGTTTACTCTTACTCGAATAAGATAGATGGATAATATGCACCTAGGAATCTCCGCCAAAACTGAAGGATCTTTACCCACTCAAGTGTTCTCTCTCGGTTTAAATTTCAATCGTCTGCCTTTCCCCATTACGAAACACAACCATTAAACCCACAAAATCAAATCCCCGGCAACAACTAACCAAAATGACTACCCTTTCATCACCACACAGCTTATGTTTCTTCAAAACAACAACAGTGAACAAAACCCATCTACCTCAAACCCAAAACCCCGTAAAAATCACTTCCCCCCACCAACTGCTCGACAAAATTTCTGCCAGAAATACATTCTCTTGGAACAACCTTATCCAAACCCACCTGACTAACAAACACCCTCACAATGCGCTCTCTATATATCATCAAATGCTCCTCCTTGGCGTTCCTCCTGACAACCACACGCTCCCTCGAGTTCTAACCGCCTCTCGTTGCTCTGGTAACTTGAATTTTGGCAAACAAGTTCATGCTCATGTTTTTAAACTTGGGTTTTCTTCTGACCTTTATGTTATCTCTGCTTTGATTGATTTTTATGGCCGGCTTGAAAGCGTTGATTCTGCCAAATGTGTTTTTGATAAGTCTGTTAATAGTGGGTTTAATTCGGTTTCTTGGACAATGTTGGCTAGGTTGTACATGATGCAAAATAAACCCGGTTTGGCTGTTGAATTGTTTCATAGAATGGTGGAGTTAGGTGCTGAAGTGGATCATGTTGCGTTGGCAACGGCTATTGGGGCTTGTGGTGTGTTGAAATCGATGCAGGAAGGGAGAAAAGTTCATGGCGTTGCAAGGAAATGTGGGTTGGAGTTTGATGTGTTGGTGAGTAATTCGTTGTTGAAAATGTATATTGATTGTGATAGTATTGAAGATGCTCGTGCAATTTTTGTTAAAATGCCGTCTAAAGATGTTATATCGTGGACTGAAATGATTGGTGCTTGTGTGAAAAACGGAGCATTTAATGATGGCTTGAAATTGCTTCGGCAGATGGTTAAAGATGGAATAAAACCTGATGCGCTGTCATTTTCTAGTGTTCTTCCAGCTTGTGCGAGAATGGCAGCGCATAAGCTTGGTAAAGAGATTCATGGTTACTTGCTTAGAAATGGGATTGACTTTAATATTATGGTCCAGAATGCTATCATGGACATGTATGTCAAGTCAGGTTTTATTCAGTATGCTTCAAATATCTTTGCAGGGATGAAGGAGAGAGATGTTATATCTTGGACTGTGATGATATTCGGTTATACCTCACATGGACAAGGAGAGGTAGGGCTAAGTTTGTTTCGTGAAATGGAGAAAGATTTGAGCAGTGAAATTGATCAGTTCACTTATGCTACTGTTCTCCATGCTTGTAGCACTGCATGCATGGTTGAGGAAGGTTGGTTTTACTTTAACCGTATTAAGGCACCTAAGGTCACACACTGTGCTCTAATGGTTACTATTCTTGTTCGTGCTGGACTCTTTGATGAAGCAAGGATTTTTATTGAGGAACATCGAATTGGAAGGCATCCAGAGGTACTGAGAGCATTGCTGGATGGGTGCAGAATCCACAAGGAAGTGAAGATAGGTAAAAGGGTCATTGAGCAGCTTTGTGAGATGGAACCTCTTAACGCTGAGAACTATGTAGTACTATCAAATTGGTATGCTGACAGTGCAAAATGGGATATGGTTGATAAACTAAGAGAGACGATTAGAGACATGGGATTGAAGCCTAGAAAAGCTTATAGTTGGGTAGAGTTCCGAAACAAAATTCATGTATTTGGTACAGGTGATGTATCCCACCCAAGATCAGAGGGAATATACTGGGAGTTAGAGTGTTTGCTGAAGAAATTGGAAGATGAAGGACATAGGCCCAATCCAGATTTTAGCCTCCATGATGTAGATGAAGAACGGGAGAGCATTCAAATTGGGCATAGTGAAATGTTGGCGCTGTCTTTTGGTCTAATTAGTACACAAGCAGGGGCAACTGTACGTGTTACTAAAAACCTTCGAATGTGTCGCAGTTGCCATGAATTTTCAAAGTCAGTATCTAAGATAGTGGGGCAGGAAATAATAATAAAGGACCAGAGTTATTTCCACCATTTTAAGGATGGATGTTGTTCATGTGGGGATTTTTGGTAGTTCAGTATTCCAAATCTTGATGCTCTAGTCATTTAGGCCTTCATATTATAGCGTCACAGGGTTTACAGTGTGGTTTGACTTCTGATATTCCAGTTCGGTTCAATATTTGAAAGATGCTTGAGTTGTATGTGACTGGATTTTAAATTAACAATTTTTTAGTGATTTTTCAAGGATTAACATGGATTATTTGGTCTGCTGCCTAGCAGTGTTTGATAATTTGGGGATATTAGAAGACACAGAGCAGAGATGCAGGAAATAGCACTATTTAATGCCGTACTATATAAAGAGATTTTATCGAAGCTGTCTGAGGATGAGTAGAGATGGATTTCTAATGGTGAACAATGAACTGTCAAATGGAAATAAATGATGAGAATTACTTCCGAAGAAGTACATGAGGCAACATTATCAGGGCAAGAGGGTTTTGCCTATCTATAGAAAGTACTGTGCAACATAACTAAAATTAAATATTCAGATGCTTAGAAATAATCTAGCGACAGAAGTCCCTATTCTGATCAAAATGTCTTAAAACAACAACTGGAGGCCATTCACATGCCTCGTTCAAGCATCCCTTCTCCCAGACTTCTTACGAGGAACAGCAACTGCGGCTTTCTCATTCTCTTTTTCAATCTCATCTTCCTTTTCTTTGTTGCTTCCTTGATTATTCAAAGTTTTGGTGGCAGCATTGTCCTTTTTCTTGCCAGCGACATTGACCTGCATATTAGAAGGATGAAAATGTTAGTACAAGTGTGTCAAATTATAGTCCCAGCAATATGTTCGAGTTAGTGCTTACACTTGCAGAACATTTCTTAATGCTGAAGATGATTGTGAAGGGAATTGTCAGAATAACAACGATGATGGAAATGAAAACGCCAAGTGTTGCTTTAGGTTGATCTTCTACTTTCTCAATGATATCCTGCAAAATACAATCCTTGTTGTAAACCTTCTCCTAGCTGGATTTAGCGAAACAGTAAATAGAGCTACAGATTTCTACAAAACTTCTATTCAGACGACAAGTTTATTCACGCACAACAAAGTGATGTTTGTATGCTTCCATGTGAGGGTGGTCTGCTATCCTGAACAGCATGTTGACTGCCCATTGCTGCAATTTTTATTCAGAAGAATTAGTTATGGTGGGAAGTAATATGAAGTTATTATAATATGAAGAGATCCTTGTGTATTAGAGGAATACTAGCTTACCTGGAATCTGGTGACAAAATCTAAAGGAGCAAGTTCCTCAGCTTTTTGTTTCGCTTTCTCTACATCATACTTTGGCTTCCATGTTGTGTCCCTGTAACGGCTAGCAACGTGCTCATCCCTAGTTATCATAATGTTGTCGAACAGAAGATCCTCTTGCATTGTCCAGATCTCAATACCAATAGCAGCAATAGGCTCAAAATTGGAGGTATCAATCTCAAAGTAGTTAGGGTTCTTAATCATTCGGGGTTTCCAAATTCCCTTAAATTTTGGGTTTTCAATGTGAGGGCGCTTCCACTTTCCTTTGTAAGCAGGATTCTTCTTCTCCGGTCTCTTCCATTTGCCACAACCAGGTGCCGGAGCACACTTGGGGTTAGGAACTTTTGGGGGTTCCCATTCACCATCCTCCTCATCATCCCAAATTTCCGGCTTTGAAGCATCAGGATCATCAATCTCCGGAGGCACATCATCTAACCAGCCTTCAGGTTTTACAGCATCCTCATCTTCAATCATCGGAGGCGCATCCTCATCCCAATCATCAGGCTTTGGTGCTGATGGATCTGGAATTGTCGGACGATCATCCCAGTCCTCAGGTTTCTTATTCTTCTCGTCAGGAATCATATGAGGTGGAATCAATGGGGGTTTAAAATCATCCACAGAAAGCAGATACGCCATCCTTCGCTCATCCCCATCGACAAGAATGGAGACTCTATTATCAGGTCTTATTATTGCCGTGTAGACATGGGAGAGCTTATCGGATGGCACAAAAGGAGGCTCCTGGAGGTGATGCTCTGTGTACTCTCCATTCTTGGGATTCTTGTGGTTGAAAATGAAGTGAATTTTGTCTGTGGTGCCACATCTGTCAGGTCCAAACATGATGGAATATGGAGCTTCACTGTCAAAATTTTCAAGTTTCAATCCAGATTTTTGGGGTCTCAGAAATTTTATGTAAGCTCCCCCACATTCTAGCCCATTTTGGAGCCTAACTTCATACTGTAATACAGTTTTTTGGCCCTTCAATTTCACTTTCTTATCAAGCTCCTTGACAATGGCATATTTTTTGGCCTTCTCACTCACAAGAAGCCCGTAATCTTCATGCCCCTCACTCTGTGAATGCTTCCACACACCTATTGATGAGCAGAATCATTAGTAAAATACAGTAGAGGAAATAAATGTGAAGTGAAACAAACCTTGATATTCATGTTTTTGAGAGACAGTCCACCGGCCATGAAAAGGTTGGTTAAACGACTCATAAAATATCTGAAAAAAAAAAAGGGAAGAAAAGTAAGGAAAGAAAAGATTAGAAAAAGAAAAAGATGAGAGAGAAAAATTACAACGTCAGAAGTAGGTTTGATCTTGAAAACAAAGAAACCAAAGAGCAGCAGCAAAAGGGTTATCACTCTCTGCATTCTGTCAAACCAAAATTCAGAAAACCAACTGAACAAACAAATTCACCCTCTATCAATTCTGAGTCAACGACAAGTGAGGATCACATTACACTTATAATTCTCTTATTTTTACATTTATCAAAAATGAAATTTTAATCACCACCCACATATTAAAATATCAAATGGGTTATTTTATCACTTATTTTAAAATTAATGAAATCATTTTGATTATGTACTACTTGTTATTAAAAAAAATTATATTATTTTATTAGTCAGCAATAAGCGAGGATGACATTAAACTTATAATATTTATTTTGTATGATGATATAGAAATAGAATAAAAGCATATTTATTTTGTTACCAATAAGAGCTACAAAATTCATTTCGTTTTTGTTTTATTATATTGCATAAACGATCTTAAGTTCTTTTAATAACTAAATATGTTCATACTTAATAACTCTAATTATGTCATCAAAAATTATAATCATAGTCCAATACATATTAACGTTCAATACAATTTTCATGTAGTGATGTGATTCTTTTTAGGCCGTGTAATACAAATACGTGTTCCTGATTCTCCCTCTTCGTGTTGCAGTGCCCTATTGGGCCAACTTGAAGTCGAGATCATCCATGATAAAGAAGCCTACTGTCTGCTCGTCTCAGATATAGACCTACAAATGTATAAATATATAACTGCTACAATTGAGTTCAGCATCAGGAGAAGGGTATGTATTGAACAGAAAGCACTGAGTTAACAAATTCTAATACAGTATAGAGTTGAACATTTTTTGGATTGGATCCTGTTAAAAGTCTTCTGTGTAAAACCAATAACCAGCATTGTCTCTCATTTCTAGATTGCTCTTCCATCACCTACACAGCTGTGCATATAATTTGTTGAGAAGACACTGACGAATGATTGCCTACTGAGTAAAGCTCAAACTGTTGTATCATCTTGCTAACCGGTGTCTGATTATTCCTCGTTCTTCATCCAACTGAAAACCAGCTCCAGAAAATTCAGCACTAGAAAAGAATGGCTGTAGATCATAAATTTCACGTTCTTGTGCCTGTACAGAGAGCAGTTAAACTCAAATGTCAGTACTGTGATTGGCTCTGGAAGCTAATCTGGTAAGAAATTTGTGAGAAGAGCCTCAAGTTTTTGTTACCTTGTATTGAAGTTCTGCGATTTTAACATCAATATGGGAAAGCGTTGAAGTGGAACTATACCCAGAAACAATTTCTTCAAAGTGCAGTGCATTCTTCACAAGTTCACGAAGAAGTTCTAGCAGCAGCCTATTGTAGTCTTTCTTGAAAGTCATATATTTTCTGAAGCTCTGCAACAATATTAAATTTTTATCAAACATTATTCTCAGAAAAAATAAAAGTAGCAAAGTCCCACAATTACCACAAGAAAATAGTCAATTCGCTGTGATCAAAATGGCAAAAGTTTGAATAAGTCATATAATGTTAGCTGCCGATGATGTTCCTTCTCAACATCAAAGAACTGCAAGGAATTACTTTTAAGTAGAATTGATTGCGGTCTAATAGTGCATCATTTCCCTATAACTGTGCGTAAATCTAATTGTATTTGTGCTCCATAAAAGCACTATTAAATGTCAGATGAATAGAGCTAATTAAGATATTTAGAGAGGTATTTACAACCAAAGGGAAAGGATTTCTTGCTATACCTTTTGCAAAGCTTTTTGAACGCCAAATTTTTGTGTTGAAATAAATGAATCAAGTAGGACACGAATTGCCATGTCGACATCTTCTTGTATTACATGTTGCCTGAGGTGCATTCGGGCATGTGCTTCAGACATCCGTATCATTGATTCTATGTGCCTTACAGCTATGGGGACTCCTTGACCATGCTAAGGGTTATTATGAAAGAAACAAGATTTACCATCAGAATATCAATAAGCAAGATCACTGCATAAATCACTGAGTGAGAAAAAGTGCGATCAAAGGGGAAAAGAAAGTGACTCACCGAAGATTCTCTCCTAAGCTCAGCATAAACATGTGTGAGCTTATCCATGTCAGAATCATGCAACCTTGGGAATATGTTCAACTTTGCATAAGTAATGTATTTCTTAAGCAAATCTTGAGGAAGTATCTGAAAAAAACAAAGGAAGTAAATCTCTCATAATTATTGAAGTCAATAATCAATAGCAAACAAATCCACAGAAGCTGAATTAAAGATGGGGTAGGAATCAGAGTATAGACCTCAGGGTCAACTGGCCTATCACAGGCTTGAATATCTTCTCCAGCATCATTCATAGATTTCTCGTCTAAGTTAGTGCCCTTGGGCTGTGACTTGGAATGGCTCTCTACTACAAACTTTGCAAGCATCTCATCGGTTACAGGGTCAACCACATCCTGAAATTGATAACCAAATTCCTTCTCTGTTAAATCCAACTAAAAGGTAACATGAATAGAGAGAAATTGAGTTTTCAGAATAGTGACCTTCACAACACAGAGAACGTCAAAACGAGAGATGATAGGATCTGTCAGTTCAACATTTTGTGAAAATGTTTTTGAGGAATCATATCTGGAAACATGAGCAGATAAGATTTATCAATTAAACTTACAAGTAAATAATTCATTTTTTAGCACATTCAATCTGTCTGTTTGGTGGCCAATTGATAGAAGAAGGGGGGCTTTATTTGGTTGTTTTAATCAATATACAAGTAATAATTACTTCAGAAAAATTTATTAAGAACTGAAATTTTAAATGATTTTAATCTTGTATCAATTGGTCCATTCAGTAGGCAGTAAATCACATAAAAAGCCCTCAATGTCAACTCAAGCATAAATAACAACCACAGTGATAATCTAACTTCCCCTTGATCTTAGATAATTTTCCAACACAGATAAATTGATCATTAAACATACCTTCCTCCAACTGGATTTGCAGCAGCAATTACAGAGCAACGGGCCTGGAGAGAAGTAACAATACCAGCCTTTGATATGCTTATACTTTGCTGCTCCATTGCTTCATGGATGCTCACCCTGATAATGTTGATGCTCAGATAAATTCTTTGGAAGAGGAGAAGACGGAGGGTTGGAAGTTTAAACCAAACTATGTAAATTTAGAAGAGACTTGCACAACCTTACCTGTCCTGATCATTCATCTTATCAAACTCATCAATGAGACAAATTCCTCTATCAGCAAGAACAAGAGCTCCTCCTTCAAGGGTCCATTCCCTTGTGACTGGATCTTTGTGCACCGCTGCTGTCAAACCTACAGCAGAAGCTCCTTTGCCGGTAGTATATACAGCTCTCTGCCCAGTCTTTTCAACATATCTTCGAAAAGAGAAAACGCAAGATTGATTAGATGCATGATCACCATCACAAAGCCAATTAAGTCATTTCAAAATAGATTATGATAGTGCTTACTTCAGAAATTGTGATTTTGCCGTGCCTGGGTCACCTAGGAGAAGTACATTTATATCCCCACGAAGTCGGTGTTTCCCTTCAACATTCTTCTCTTGACCTCCAAACATAGCAAGAGCTAATGCAGTTTTTATGTCCTCATGGCCATAGATAGATGGCGCAATTGACTTGATAATCTGAGAGATTTAGTTCATAACACAAATCAAAAAAGGAACTTGATGATGGTACAACAAGGACATTGTTGACAAAATAAACTTCAGTAACATACCCTTTCTCCAATCCGTGGGTCTTTAGACAACTTCTCAATCTCTTCTTTGTCTTCCTGGGTAAGTTTGTAAGCAGAAAACAGGTCATGCTTCTTTGTAACATGGTTAGCTTCAACCACAGTGGAAAATACAGGAAATCCATTCTTTGTGTTCAAGGACAAATCAAAATTATTTGTGTATACCCCTGTGACCTCCTGAAATAAATCATATAAAAGATATTACAATAACAACAAAAGTATAATGACCAAGGCAAGGAACAAGCACACAAGAAGAGGATTTTACAATTTCTTCTCCAGGGCGGGCACAATCAATCAGGTCATTCAGCAGTATGACTTCCTTGTATCTTGGAAGCCGTCCTGCAGGCACAATTCCTGGGCTTTCTTGGAGTGTAAGTTTCTGATAATTCCTGTATATGGTCTGCAACATGGCATGGAAGATAAACATATCAGTTTCAACTTGCATTTCATTAAAATTCGTACTTTCATATGTTTTCAGTTAATACCAAAATACAAAATGAAAGTAAGAATTTTTCAGCAGAAAAAAGGGGCACTAACAGAAAGGTAGTAGAAGCATCACCTGTTCAATGTTGACAGTGAATGGCCCTTTTGATTGGCATTCAGGACAAGAGCCAACCTTGACTTCTGAATATGAATTCTGAAAAAATGGCCCCAAAATGGCCCCACACTTGTTGCAATCGTATTTTACTTGTTGCAACTGGGGAAAGACCCCAGAACGTCTAGTCACAACTCCCCCAATACGAATCATGGTGTTCAAATGGATTTGTCTGCAACAACCAAAGAAAGAGTAAGGTGGAGACCATAAGGGAAAAACGTTTCTTTATACCGAATAGACATCAGCATTACCTAATGTTCCGAATTTGATCATAAACTGGTAAGTTGGTGATTCGAACATATATCTTTTGATGAATGTTTTTATAATTTGGATGTAAATCGAACACAACTTTTCTGGCTACTTCTTCCATGACATCTAGGACAGATTGAGGGGCATCGGCCAGCCATATAGCAATATTGGGATGGACATAGATGAATTGCTTGTAATCAATCTCCAAACTACATTTATTAGCTGCATAAGCAACATTAAAGGTGTAATTTTAACATTAATCTCTTACTGTTTCAATTCTAATAATTCCCAAAATGAAAGAAAACCTATGCTGGAGCAGACTCTTTACCTGACACCATCTCATTGATCAAACGTACATATACGAAATCACCCTGCTCACTCTTGGCACTCACATAGGTTAGTAAGAATTCCCTAAACTTTTTAGCAATAAAACGACGAACTTCATCCCGGGTAACCCACTCTCTCAATGTTCCCTGAACACGATACATCTCAAACTCAGTGTCATCCCCATCATCATCCTCATATGGATAATCATCAGTAGCATCAGTCATGGGTACATCATCTCTTGGCGAACTTTGCATACCATCAGTATCATCCTGGCTTCTTCTTGGCCTGAAATCAGCTCTAGACCTCTTCGAAGGCCTATAGTTGTCATCATCAGTATCTGCAACCAAACCATAGAAAACCAACATTATAACCTTATCAGTCACTTTCTTTTTCAATTCTCAATACCCTCCAATTCATCTTTTCTACAAAGATTTTTCCAAACTAAAAAATGCTGTCAAACCACACAACTTAGTACTCAACAAACTGAACACTTCAACATTATCAACAAATATTTTTCCCCAAACCTATATTTCAATGAAAACTATAAAATACAATAATAACACAACCAATTACACGAACAACAGTTGAATAATACTAAAACTGATTTTTTTTAGCATAATTCGACAGGCTACAAAATCCAACCCGAAATTATATCCTAGTTCCATTTCTCAGTAAAATAAAATTATAAAAACAATGTAATTTGAAAATGAAAAAAAAAATTAATATCAATATAATCATCAAAAATAAATCCTTACCCTGATCATGAAGAAGCTGAGGAAGCTTTTTTCGGTTAGGGTTAGTTAAAACAACACCATCGCGAGCATCAAGTTCTATCTCGGCCGCCCTTCGATCCGCCATAATCTGATCCAAATCTCTCTCGTCTTCAAGAGACTCATCCAATCCAAGCGACTCATATTGATCGTGCTCATCCATTCGCCGATAATCACTGCATCACATTTCATTTCCTCCAAAATCAACCACTAAACCCTAATCAACCAAAAAAATAACCCCTAAAAATAACCAGAACTAATAACTTACTCCATGAAATTGTCATTGTACAGATCCTCTCCTTCCTCTTCTTCTTCAGGCACGTCCGGCTCGTCTCTGATGATCTCGGGATCCACCGCCGCCTCATCGTCCGTCGAGTAATTCTGGCTGGTGTTCGGTGGGAGCTGGTCGGAGTTGAACCCGGCGGACGTCGGTGAATCGGGCGTTGATGGAGTATCGGCCATTGGGTTATTGATCGTGAAGATGATGGATTAAGTGGAAAGATGAGATTTTGGTTAGGGCTTGAGATAGTGAAGTAACTAAAGTGGCATCATGAAGATACTTTTTGGCGGGAAATTTTAGCGCCAAAGGTGTGTGTTTTGGGCTTTTGTTTACAAAGTTGATTTATTGGGCCCAAAATTTCTTAAAATCCGGCCCGACTAGTTTAGGCTTTCCTATACAAATTTGGAAAATGTTTTTTAGCCTATATCAAATTTATTGGTATCCTTTTTGCTTAATAATTTAACCTTAATGAAAATTACTAGAAATGCACTCATACTCTATTTTACATTTTTGTTTTAATTTTTAACCTCTACTTCTTACATAAATGAAAATATATTACTAAACATAGTGAGAAAGTAATCACACAAAATGATGAATTTGAATATGAAGAAGAAATGGTAAGTTTCAAATATGAAATTGGGAAGAGGGAGTATAATTAATTAGGTATTGGGGCTAAAAATCATTTCCCTTTTCTACGTATAGAATTTTATTATTGTTTTTATAATTTTCCGCATGCTAATGTTGATTTTTGGAATAAATATTAAATTTTATGATTAATAGTCTTTCACATGACATAATGTTGTAGCGTATAGAAATTGAAGAGAGAAAGAAAATGATAAATAGTATTAGATATTTGGTGTGGGATTTATTCAATGGTTAATTGAGGCCACCATATAAACCACATCAATCAACACTTTGTAAAAGAGGTAATTAATTAAAGTGGTTTAATCAAACTCAAATCACTATCAATCTGATTGTTAAAATAGATGAATTGATCTATCACTCTTCGATCAAAACACTTTATCCCAATCTCATGAATTGCAACCAATATCAAAATTGTATTTTGCTCTCTGATGTACATAAAATTTTATGAAATAAGTTTAAGGTGGGAGATTTGCACATGGTGAATTGAGGCCACATCAAATATTGAACACTAATTGACTTTTTTGGTCTGCTTCGATTTTCATCACTATTAAGATATTTTAACAGGTAACAAATATAATTGGAGAAAAAACATTAATCAACTCAAATCACTATCAATGTTTAAAGCAAATTAATCAATTAGCTAGTATTTTAAAATTGAAATACAAGATTGGTTTATTAGATCAAAATTTATTTCATACAACAAAACTTTACACCATTAATATATAGTGTTACAACATATCGGCCTCGAAGGAAGCAATTACTTCCAAAAGCAAAAAATGCCCAGATCAAAAGCTACTTAAATATATATATATAATTGTCTCAAGATTCCTGATAATCGAGCTTACTTATTAAATAAAAGCAGCTAGATTCTCCTAAAAGAGCACTCATATACAGTGATCTCTCATCCTATACTGATCTGAACTTCTCCAAACTTTGAACATCTTATAGCACATATGCACCACTCTGTATTTATTCAGATAAAAGCTCATCAGATCAACTATCGGTTGAAGCTGTTTAACCAAAAACGAGTTAATAATGACACGTAGCTGAAAATTTTAACGTACAGAAACAAATTAATGAAACTGCATGCATGCAATGTTACAATATTACCATATTTCCTTAAAAATTAATTACTTTTTAATTAAATTTATTTTTTCAGACGCCTCTGGCAAGCATTTCTTGAAACCTCTTGAAAGATTGAAGCTTCTGTAAACGCATCTGTTTATGAAACCTCTTGATGAACAAATCCGCAACATGATCAATCTCTTCTTCCAAGCTGAAATCCTCCCCTCCTTCTTCTTTAGAATTCTTCACCAGATCGATTATCGACCCGCCTTGATCATCGTCATCGTCGTCGAACTCGAAACCCTCTTCGTTGAACAACGAATGAGTAAGATCTGGATACTTCTCGTTATCGTTGTCATTATCGCTGTTATAGTACTCCAGCTGATGCGTGTAGCTCGAGCTCGACTGAGTTGGCTCCGTGGCAGCGATGGCATTGTAGAGAACAATGGCTTTGCTCTGATCAGCTTCATGATCATCGTGGTGACCGAGGATGCCATGAATCTTGTTCGAGATCGTGCCGAGAAGAACTTTCTTGTTCTTCATTAAAGAAAACATAATGAGGCGAGCCTTGACCGCGCTGGTTTTGTTCTTGACAGACATGGATTTTGCTTTAACGATAGAACTCAATAGGCAAATCACTTTCTTGAAGAAAGCGGAAGCCTTTTTCTTCATTTTTGGGTTGTAATTAAACAGAGATGAATTGAAGAATCTGAAGAAAAACAGACAAAGAAAGAAACCAGGAAAAGTTAAGGAAAGAGAAGGGAAATTTTGGAGGTGATTTCCGAGATTAGGGTTAGCATGAAGAATAAGGCTGTGTTTGGTGGATTTAAATAGAAAGCAAAAAGCACAAAGTTGCTTTTAGGGGTTTTGGTAGTGGGGTGAATGTGAAAGTGGGTGACAAGCAAAAAGCATGCCGAAGCTTCTCAAAGCAGAAATCATCAATGTACCAACCACTTGGAATGATACTATTGGGTACAATTTTAGGTGGAATTACATTTTAGTCCTTATGTTTTCGGCCTTAAAGTTATCAAATAAACACATTACACAATACCATATTTCTCTTTCAGTATAATTTTCAAATCAATTAATGATCAACTAATGGTTCATTAAGTGAAATGACTAAAAGGCTAATAGTTGAAACAAAAGACCGAATTCTCTCTAAAATTATCCAATCAGTGGAAAAGTTAGGGTATTTTGGTAATTAGAAAGTTGTTAATATAGAGCTCGGCTAATCAGGAGATGCCACGCATGGCGGATAAGTGCAAAATAATTTTATAATACAAGAAAGAGAAAGGGGGTCGAGAAAGCAAATTTGGAGGGTGAAAGAAATAAATAAAAAAGCTGCTGTGAGAAAAAGTGATTTCATAAAAGCAAACTAAAGATTCTACCTCCATTACTTGTTTTCTGCATGGCATTGCAAGATATGTTAAAACTTTATAGTTAAGATTTTTAATTTATTTAATATTTTCAATAATACTTGAAGATCATATTAGAGGTAAAGGTAGAATGTTTCATATATTATTATATGGATATAAATATAAAACTTCCTGAAGTATAATAAAAAACAAAAATTCCCTTGGGGGGCGTTTGGTTTAGAGAATATTGGATTACTGGAAATGTTAGATTACCTTAAAGATTACTGTGAATCTTTAGGAAAATGTGTTTGGTTAATTGGTGGGTATGTTATATTAATATATTTGGTTGGGAGGATAAATTGGTGAGTATGTTATTTAAATTACTGAATTGTCCTCTAATTAAATATTATTATTATATTATTTTTTAATATTGACTATTATTTGAATTATTATAACCCCATGTATTTAAAAACTTAGCAAAAACAACCCCATAATAAAAGTTTGGAAAATCAACAAAGCACCCCCACCAACGCAGCCACTGCCGGCCGCCGACAACCGCTGCAGGCTGTTGGCAACCGTTGCAGGCTGTTGGCAACCTAACATCGCACGGAAGGTAGGAAATGGCCTCTGTGCGCCGTATGGCAATTTTCGGCTAGAGATCTGGTCAGAAATGGTCATACGGCGCACGGAGGCCATTTCCTGCCTTCCGTGCACCGTTAGACGTTACAGATCTGGCTGTCGAAGACGGCCATTTTTGGCCTTACGTATGCCGTTTCGGTGGCAGCAACGGTTGTCTGCGGCGGTGGTTGTCGACGGCAGGTGGGTGGGGGTGCTGGCTTGGGTGGGCTGCAATTTATTTTGAATTCAAGGGTAATTTTGTCCAAAAAGTTAATTAATTGGAGTGAAATAGTAAAAATTATATTCATGTAAATGAATTTAAAAATAAGGGCATTATTGTCCTAAAATTTTATTAATAAGGGATAAAATTGTAACAAAAAAAAAAAAAAACCCTGGTAATCTTAGAATACCTAAGAAAATGGAGGTAATCAGATTACCTCCAATATTACCAATAGAAACCACTATTGGTATTTGAAGATTACCGGTATCTTATATTACTTGACAACCAAATATGGTAATCAAGTAATATAAGATGACTTAACCCTAGTAATCTCACATAACCCCCAACCAAACACCCCCTTGAAGTTTCTAAAATAACAAAAATCACTCTACTGTTAAGAAATTGTTAGTGAGTCACTAAGATGTATACCGTTAAAAGTTCATAAATATTATCAAATTACCCTCTCACCATTTATTTTAACAACTAAAACTTAACGGTAAAGAGATTTATGTTATTTCTGAAATCTCAAGGGGATTTTTGTTATTTTATCATATTTCTAACCCTTGATATAATAAAGTTGGGTTAAATTATTATAACACAAAATTTTGAAAAGAATTTAAACAGGTTTTTTGTCCATAGTTTCTATCAATCACATTTTCAATGGACTTAAATGATAAGTTAGAAGTAATTATTTTTGTTGATGCGTGATTTTGACACCAACTAAAAGCACGTGTGAAATGCTGAGCTGACCTAGTAAACACACGTGAATGGGGGTATGAGAATGGATAAAAGATGGAGAATGATGTTTACAATGGTTCAGATGCTTAAAAAAGCGACTCTTACGTCCACTGATATTGTATTAATATATTGAGGTCAGGTCGCGCTCAACGAGCTAACTTACAAGTGACTACAAAGAGAAATTATGTATGCTATTATAGAGAAAAATTAGCTAATCCCACAAATGGGAGAGGAGCCCTTTATTTATAGGGGGATGGATTGAGGTAATGATTACTAAATTAGGAAGTGGGTTAGATTTCCATCCAAATCCTTCCTTGTGCCCTGTTATTCACCTGCCCAAGTGATTTACTCGATTCTCGCAGGGATTGGATACGTGGATCACCTCCAGCCTTTCACCAGCTTGACGCGCACCTACTGCACTGGCAGGAGCGCGCCTCTTGCGTCAGCGCGCGACGTGGCTGCACCTGAACGGCACTTGGACTTACCTAAGCTCTGACCACTTGCGCTACAGGGTTCTACATTAGCCCTACTTTTCCAAGCATAACAGAAGTCCCCTAGTTTTTAAGGTTTGAGAATCGAACCTTGGAAACTACATGTCATGCCTTGATTTGATGCATTTGAACATCGGTTGACCGACTTGAATGCAGAGAGGTCGAAGAAACATTTTCATGCAGGCGACCTGCAATGGCCTTTACTTTAAAGGTTAGCGACCTGTATTAGACCATATCCAGTGCCACGACGATGGCTTCGATCTTCGCCCGAGGTTCACGACCTGATTGCACTTTGCGAATTTTTTTTTTTTTTTTTTTTTTTTGCGTAAGGCAAGAGATCGTATGGCTTCACAGCCGATATATGTCCAAGACGATGAGTCACGTCGCTTCGAGGTTGACACGTGACAAGATCGAGGCGTTGTATCGTTTTGTGATGAGACATGAGCCGAAGAGTGTTGTAGGTAACGACCTCTTCAGATGTTATCCGTTGCACTTTCATAGCTGATCATTTAATGAAATATCTTTTGCTCTAAGAGACGTGTCCTGTGCGCAATAAGTGCCAGGCATGCACATTAAATACGAGCCATGCTGAAACGACATTCCCTGTCAAAGCATTAAATGCGGATGTGAGCGCATTTAATGTGGAGGAGGGAAAACGTGTCATCGCTTGAGTGTTTCAACGGAAGAGAACGACGATTCGATTTCTGGAATTGTGACGGTCACTCTTCTCCGCTGATCTATGACACGTGGTCGTGATCAACTGTGAGATGCGTTTTCCGCCCAAACGTCGTTTGACTTTGGGAAACCAAAACGCCATTTCCTTCCCTATAAAATCCCAAGTTCACTTCATGTAATGTCACAGTGCTCATCTTCTCAGAGAGAGAGCAAGAGATTTCCGTGAGCCTTGGTTCTTTGTCTATCAGATTGGTGCATGCTTGATATCTGGAGCAGGAGGACTAATCTTCTCATTTGAAGAGGTAAGGATGATCCTTCTGCCACCTTTACTATTTTTTCTTGTTTTCAATAATTGTTGTACGATGATAGTTTGTCGGAAGTTGATCGGAGATGAAACATTCTCTTTGGGATTGAGCCATTGATGGTGGTGCTAAAGATATCATGTTAGGGTTTTTCTAGGGTTTAAGGGATGAAGTATTTTCTTTTTCCTCCACGTCATTGTACGAAACAGTGTACGAAGACTGAGTGATTCCCTGCATGTCACTTTTCTTTTTAGATTGTAGAAGAATGGACTCCCCAATGACCAGGACTGGGGAGGATCCCCATCAAGAGATCCTGTCGATAATTACTGCCGATGAGCTCTAGAAGGTGATAGACCAATACGCTCTTAACGTAGAGGTCTTTAAAGATAGGGTACACACAGCTCGGAGTCCGCCACGAAGGATGGCTGCGATCTCTAAGAATATCTTCAAGAGTGGGGGGCTGATCCCCTTCCACCCTTTTATCAGGTCAGTCCTCGATCATTTCGGGATCACACATTTACAACTCACGCTGAATGCGTACATGATAGGTGTGGCTATGTACATTGCATGCGGCGAAAACGGATTGGGCGAGCTAACTACGCTAAAGCTCGGTTGCTCGTACCTTCTAAAAAAGAGTAAGGACAAGGATTCTTACTATCTTTCCAAGCGACCTACCATTGAAGCGGGAATATACAGTTACCAGAGCAACGTAGGGGCATACGAGACGAAGTTCTTTTTCTTTTATCATAATGGAATTTTCCATTTTTAGGAGCCAAGTAGGTCCTCCTTTCTTTTGAGTTTGCGAATTTTCATTCGCTTTTTGCTAACGAGCCCTTAGTTTCTTCGCAGTTAACAAGATGACCAGGTCAGAGCTCCTTGAGGATTCGAATAGGATCGCTAACTTCGGCTTTTTGCCCGAAGAGAGTTGCGCCGCAAGATTGCTCGTGACAACCACAAATTTGTAGAAGTACGGTTTCTTCAACCGAGAAGCGACCCTAGAGATCACACCAAGTAAGCTTCTTGAACTTAGCCTTTTTGACTTCGCATGCAACAAACTGTTTTACTAACGATGTTCGCGTGCAGCGACCATGCCTCCTAAGGTGCCCAAGTCACTGCGACCATGACAATTTGCCTTCCCCAAAAAGGGTGCCACCGGACCAGTTGGAACGGCTTCCAACGATCCCCTTGACGGAGGCACATTGGTAGTCGATCCGGCCCGACCTGCGGGCGCTTCCCAGCCTTCAGCTGCTCACCCGAAGCAGAAAACCACGACCCAAAGGCCTAAAAAGATGAGGCAAATTTGGACTGAGGAGTCGGAGTCCGAACCAGAGGGTTTGGGCGTCCAGCCTGAAAGGTCGTAGCCTTACCAATCATTCCACTCGAG